TCTGTAAGGTATTTTACTTCAAATTAGTTTTTCTCAAAGTGACCCATAGGCCATAAACGATCAAAAATTATTTCCGTTTTGTCTAAACAGTCAACAAATTAATTATTATCTGCGCTCAAAAAGTTACTGCGATACATAAACAGTTATTTCAGTTATTTTATTGTTAATGTTATTGGTAAGTATGGACAAGAAATAAGTTGCACATAATAAATCATATTGTTTTTAACAAAATGTTCCTACATTTTTTATGTTTTAAAATTTTAAACGCGTAATTATTTGGACTTTTAACGCCCATCATTAGTTTCGAAGATAGAGCAATGAAATCTTTACTATTCGATTTTGCGTAAAATTATCTATGTATAAGCTTCAATATCAAAAATCATTTTTAAGTTTGCAAGAAAAAAATAAATATCAAAACAAAATATATAATATAGCGTATGTTTTTTTTTGAAAATTTTTTTCTGCTCTTTCAAACTTTTAACTAGTCAGCTCTATCTCCTTAAGTTTTTAAAACAAATTTTATTCATCGTTGTTTTCAAAATATATTTATCTATATTTCTTAGAAAAGATGATAAAGTCTGGTTTCTTTAAGTTGATGCGTTAATACATATTAGTTTACGATGGCATTTATTTTGTGTAGTAACGACGAAACACGTTATTTTGTATCTTATAAAATACTGATTAGCATCCTTGATAATAACAAAACTCTTATATAAAAAAAAAAAATTATGCTATAATTACAATATTTGATTTCTCCTATCGCTAATCGCTTAGTACATTTGTAAAAAAAATATTCATGGATATTCGACATACCCCGGATTATATGCTTCTGCGCGCGACCTTGGCGTTATACGTATTAGCAATTGTGAAGATTTTTTCTTTACTTTTTCACGTCTTATATACTATATTGTTGTCTTTATTTTATTTAAAATGTTCTGGAAAATAAAAAAAAACTAATATCTCGCCTTTATCCTTGTACTCTCCTACATACCTTTTACTCAGTATGACGTTAATGCGTGAGCTTATATTGTTTAAAAAAAAAGGGTCAGTGCATTCCACACAGGCCGTCGCGACAAGACCAATATAGATATAACGTGCGTAAGAAGTTAAATGATTGATGTACTCGAACGAATCGTTTATAATGTGAATCGCGTGACAAACATGTATTGTTAATATTCTTTGAATGAAGAAAGAAGAATGAGACCGTTGGGAGCACTGGTAATTGAATGACTAATAAACAAACTCTAGGGTTAAAAAAAGCTTTATTTTCATGATGAGTTTGTCTAAAATAATTGCCGAAAACAATAAGTTCATTGAATAATTGTTCAGTATGTAATACCGATAACTTCCGAATCATATCTGTTTATTTTTGCAATTTGTGTATCATCTTAAAACTTTACTTCTAATAAAATATGTATTATATTATATTTATAGAACCTATATTATAATATGTATATGAATACCTATTGAACAATAATCGGCTAATGTAAGTAAGTTATAGTCGCCAACACGGGACAGACGCTTGTTATAATTTTTACCGTAAACGGTATTACTAGCGCTATAGTGCTACTAAGTAGTAAGTTATAATCAAAGTAAGGTGGTTCCTTTCTACTTAGTTCAAATAGGATTGACTACGTATTAAGTCCGACGTATTTAAAATTTGTTGATGATTATAAAACATGAAGTACGCATAACCAAAATATTTTTTCTCTAAAAACCCCATTATCTATTAGGTCAACTAATTACAAAATATAATATAGGTATGTAAGTTTCATTAGGAACTAAGTAACACATTGCGTGGGACGCATGAAAATTGCCTAAGTTTTACACTGTGCCGTCAACATTGTCTAACTAATGGTTTAACCTTAACTTGACAACGTATCATTTAAAATAATTGTGATATTTATACTCGGCTTAACAATAATTACTATTTGAAGCATAAAATTAAACTTCTGTCAAATTAGGGAAAGAATTCCTCCATTTAAGTAGCACAGGTATTTCGGATGCCAAAACTAGTTGGCAACATTTTCTTAAATTGCATAAAAATAAGGAAACCCTGTTTGAACGTTTATAGATATAGCATGATTTTTTTTAATTTCTCTATATTTCGAGTCACTTTTCAAACTGTGTTAATATTAAAAAAAAAAAATAAATAAAAATAAATTGAAATTATTACAATGCACATTACTAATTGCGTCGACTGGCTGTCTAACAAGGAGGTTTAGACATTCGGATAGCTTGGGAATATTCTGCATTTTTCAAGGTGATAAAAACACGTTTGTAGTCTAATTAATTAATGTGGCGTAGAATTTAGTGTTGGCGATAAAATGCTGAACCTATGGTGTATTCATGCTTGCCTTTAATTTAAATGTAACTATCTAATTTTAATGTGGATTTCATCGAAAACCCGTTGGTAGGAAAGCTTTGTGCGGCAAGTCCATTTACAATATAATACAAACTAAAAAGCCCTTTGCAACGTGATCCATTCGAAATTAATGGAACTTCCTCTTTTGAAGTATAACATAGTACGAATATATTAAGCTTTTATTTTGATTGAACTCTTTGCAAAAAGCATTTTCCGAGGTAGTTACGAAATACACGACACAAAAACCAACAAAGTCACGAAAAAGATGGGTTTGATACACAAAAGGTTGCAAGTATTTCACATAATACATTTGAATTCTGAAAAATAAAGTAATTACTTACGATGTCTTTCTTATACATTTAAAATATGACTACGTAGTTACGTATAAAACCAGAATAAAGTTCTTTAAGCGTGAATGGTTTTATTTGATTTTTTAAGGCATAATAATATAGTTTAGATTATCTAACCTTCACTGTTATAACGCATACCTCAGAGTATTTAAAGTTTTAACTATTTCTAGTCTACTGTCTACTATTACTCGGACATATAAGGACAAAAAAATGTCTAAATTATTTTTTAGCATTTTGAATCCGGCTAAAACAATGGATGTTCAGAGAATTCGTGAAATACATTATAATATCATGTATAAGCTGTGGAAACGGTCCCCAAAAAAAATACGATTATTTAATCTTTTTTTAAAGACTAGCACAGTAAATGACATCTGGTCGACGTGCTTTGCGGTTCATTAATGCAGCACGACGGATTAAGTTTATTGAATGGAACTTGTCATTACAACACCTAGGGTGTTGAAAACCAATAATAACAGCTCCTACGGTCGCTAGTACGTTGTAATCTGTTTATTATTGACGTTTATCAGCTGCGACTACTAAGGGCGTTATAATGCTGCTAATAATAAACATGGTTAGGAACCCTGTAAAATTTCGAAATAATAAATTACGTGTCATTCCTTTGTATTCATCGGAGTTGAACCTACGCCAAAAAAAAAACTATAAGTCTTCACTTTATTAAAAAAAAATGCAGAAAATATTGCCAAAAAAACGTTTTTGGAAAAATCTGGCAATGACATTTTTGACGGTTCCGGATGTAGATATAATCTCGAAGAATGTAAAAATAGAGTTCTTGATGGTTTTCGAAATCGATTACACGACCTTTTTCCAACAAACTTCTGCCCGACCAAGCACTTAAATTGGAATTCGTTTTTGAGACAATCTCCTAAATTGAATTTGATGTGATTATTCGATAGAACCGAAGAGTTTTCTAATCAACTACACTATAATATTACAATCGATCACTGTATTACTAACCGACGCGAGTTTTAATTGTATTACTATGATGTGTAGGTAACCTAACCCGTTGTGGTTTGGCTAATAGCTTTTGACAATCTGTCAAACTCATGAAAACTGTCATCTAAATGTAAAGCCTTATGGACTTTATTTAGTTGTGTAACGCTTTTTTATGATAGGATTGGTATTATTATTACACAATGATTGATTAGGTTGTACATAGATGTAGGTCTATTGATATTTTCTCCAACTATACGATTTTACAGATTTTTTTAAATTTTAAACCGTCAATGACAGTTTTTGTGATAAAATGGTCGCAAAATAAATATTTCCATTTCAATGAACTAGCTGATTGCAGGACTCGTTAAATATGCAAAGCCGGGCCAACCGCTGTGTTCGGTTAGAATAGGGGGGGGGGTAGAGTTTTTCATTAATATTCATCTTATTTAACGCTTTTGAATAAATCATTTTTACATTTATAGTTTATAAATAATATATTTCCGTGATTGGTTTGTATTCAGTCCCTTTTTCGTGGAAACACGTCGATAATGGCTCGTTTTTGGACAGTTGCTCCATTTTAACAATACTATAAAAAAACGTTATAAAAAATAATGTGAATTAGTTAGTTACAGTAATCGTTGTTTATCAACATTTTACTTGGACATAAACGAGTTGACACGAATATGGAAATCATCAGCTACACTAATCGAATCGTGTCGAGATTACGTGCGCTATGTAATTTATTTAGCTATTCGAGCAATTTTAGGTTCGATGCGAAGCTGTGAAGATATCGATTTAACATTGATGGTTTTTTATTCGTGTTTTTTGTGGCTACCTGCGATAATCGTTACATCTACATGACTGGGTGTGATCATAAGTAGAAAAAGTGCATGTCTTCTCCTCCGCCAACAAAACAAACATGGAATATCCCAAAATTATCAGCTTTTGTTAAATATTCATCAACAGGCTATTAACTAAAAATATTTCTAAATGATTTTTGATCATTCTTTAGATGTGTTTATCAGAAGAGTGGAAAATTATGATACTTTTACCAAAAAGGCCGCAAAGAGTCAGAAGTTCAAAAATACTGATAGAAAATGTTATGTGTGTAGCGATAAAGTATGATATTATTTATAGAAATATTTTCAAAAACTTAATTTTCGCTGTCCCCTCGTTCCCACGGAAGGGTTACTTTAAAACAGAATAATTCGAGTTATTACAAGCCACAAGACCACGTCAACTATTCTATAATACCAGTTACCACCAGCTAATTGTTCTTAGTATTTTGTTTTTGTATTAATATTCTTTTATTTGTTTGTATTTTGTTATAGATCTTAGGTGCACGGTGTCCAGTCAAGTCCCTTACACGTTGCAGGCGTTTTGGGGTGTTTCCATCAAAGAACTTCACCACTTCTTGTGGAAAACATGGAGTTCGTTTCAGACCGCCGTTAAGGAAGACACTTTACTGCGCGGACACTATCAACACTGCGGATTAACTTTACAGTATCCTTTGATTACAAAACAATAATACCGTAAAACGGATTAAAGTTGGTCAAGTTTTATTACACAGATTAACTAACTTAAGCCCATTTTTGCGGTATTTGTAGTAAATAAATAAGCGAACCTGTAAAATGGCACCAAAACGCGATTATGAATGCCAACGTTTGGTAGAATATTACCCTCTAAATAAAAATTCTAATTAGAAATACATTTTTTCATTTGTTTAATACATATAATATGTTACATAGATATATATGCGTTTATATTAATAGACTAGTAAAAAATGTATGCATGTTATATAAATATAATCAAGAAGTTCAAGACTAGACTTTTTTTTACGCATTTAAAAATCCGTATACGGATTAATAGGTGTACTATATTATCAGATGTGTATTATGGGCGAGGGGATTTGTTTTTATTATTTGATCTGCTATCGCGATCAAGGCGTTTCTCGACCTAATGGGCAATTTGTTTTTTTTGTCGAATACAAATACGTCCTTAACCGAGTTTTACCTTTAGCGAAACAAGCCATACAGAAAAGACGGTCCAGATGTTCATGCCTGAGGGAAAATTGGATTTGGGCACGCCACCTCGGCACTGTTACCCCCTGGTCATATTCCTGATACGAGACACCCCGGAAAACTCTACTCTTCATCCAGACGAGACGGTAAGCCCATCGGTTGAAATGAAGTATGACCGTCAGTGTATTAACGTTAAACATTTAGTGTTGTAGTGTATATTATTATAATATTGTATCCGGGTCAATCAGTTTCCCTTTTACTAACAGAGGGCCGTTGAGCGCGCAACCGAATTAATTGTCATTGATTGCTCTTTAGGGGCACATCATAATATCTTATTTGACTTTCGAAAGGCGACATTGAACTGTGTGACTTTCAGAACGATCGTATCGATCAGCGCCTTGAAAATCGCTCGATGGCGTCTGTAGCTATGATGAAATAATTGTTATTATTATTATTATTATTATTATTATTTTGTATCGCCGTTTGGGGAGAAAGGATATTTTTTGTTAAGACATCGGTGACGCCGAACGATATACATATATGTTATTAGGTAAACGTTTTATTTATAACCGCACATCGCGAGTAGGCACTAGTCCAAATCCATTCTCATTAATATTAATTATTATTTATTTGTTACCTACGCACCAGATGGCTTTAATTTTTATTGACAAATTAAAGTGTAATATTTTATGTATTAACCTTGTTTTTCTCGGGTTAGATCATAAGAAAACTTAATGAACATAGTACATACGTACATCAGGTATAAATAAAAAGAAAAATGCAATTGTAAATAGATTGTGATTAAAATCGATAGTTTCTTCGAATGAGTCGATAGACTTTTCAGATATTTTGTTGTTAACACTAGAATGTGTTTTCGATTTTTAAAATGGACTTTGTTTAATTATACCACTATTGTTCTCCTTAAATTGTTATTAAACACCCTTAATAAAATCACAATAGTTATTAGTACTATAAATATATATTTCTTTTGTCTACCGCCTCTTTAGGTGGTATTATATTAATACATTAATACATTTTTTAATAATATAGCTAATGTTGTCGTCTCATTACAGGTGGCATTGGTGAACGTCGTGCATATAAGAGACAATGTGTGTACGTTACCTACCAACATACTGGCGCAGTACCTAAAACAAGCAAACGGACAGCTGTCATCACTTAAGGTGGGTTTCGATTCTTAAACATTTACTCAGTTATACGATTCAAGTGCCTACTTTTATATTGTTATGATTATAAAACACTATTGATTTAGTATATTAATCGTTTTGTAGTTAGCGGGAGGGATTCAAAAGTGATAAATTGGTCACGTATTACGTTATTCTTAATTAACCTATAATAAATAGGTTAATTAAGAATAACTAGTGACTACTACAATTGCTCCGTGCCTCTGACTTAAGAAGTTATAGGAGTTAGCGCCTGTGCCATGGATTAAGACAAACAATCTCTGTTCCTAGCGTGTACAGCTAAATTTCAAAATTGATAGGGTGAGGTCTAGTGCTCGGTTGACAAGTGATATGTTCAATCATTTTTATATTATCGTTCTAACTCTCAGTCTAGTACGTTTTATAATCCTTGCGAATAGGCTCTCTCTTAACAGGACCAAATCATCTGTATTAATTTTCCATGTTTACATCGTAGTCAGGAGCTATTATTGTACCAGTAGGTACATGTCACGGGAGATACATGTTTCTGGTAAGCTAAGCAGTTTCAACCCATACTTACATAATATGAAGAAAACAGTGTACAGAAATCGTTAAAACTCAAAATTTTGAATTTTAGAAAGTTACATGATGTCTTTTTGACAACCATAATTTATCTTTTTTATATTAAAGTAATATGTGAAACTGCTCAAGTTTCTAGAAATATGCATCTCTTGTGACATGTTTTACACGCTAAAAAAAAAGTTGTGTCACACCCACTTCAGAAAATCTATATTTTACAACATTGAACATTTTCAATTTTGTTTAATTTATAAATATTATAGCCGGGCACGAATTTAAGTATAGGTAAACTAGGCCGTAAGTATAGCATTTTTAAGGGGGCGGCAATTTTATATAGTTACCAAAAAATTTGAAATTTGAAAAATAAGTTCGATAACAGTTTAATTTAAAATTAAGAAAACACATATTTTGTTCGCAATATATCAATATATAAATAATGTATATGAATTTAATGTCCATAATAAACATAACCATATTATGGTGATTTTTAATTTTTCCCCTCATAAAACTATAAACTAATATTGTTAACTTTTAAAAGGGCGGCCAATAACTGTTTGTCCATGATTATACCTAAACCGCGGCCGTAGCGACAAATTTCCTGCCCACGGCCTGGGTCTCAAAGAATTTTTAAAATGTTCAAAAATCTTTATTTCGCTCAACTCTCAACCAACTAATGTGAGACTGTGTGTATATAACATAATAACCGTCAATGTTTTTTTTTTTTGTTGGCAGCAATTGTATTTGGCCACAGGTAACGCTTTGAGCTACCAAGACGACGCGGCGGCGTGCGAGGACGAGTCGCAAAGGGCTCTCGTGTTAGACAACAGCAGCTTGAGTGCCGGTCAGGAACAGCTGTGCGTGGTCTGCCAGTTCTATCCGTTGTCCAGGGCCTTGTTGCCTTGCAGGCACACTTGTATTTGCGCTTCTTGCTTTGGAAAGCTGGAGACGTGCCCGATGTGCCGCAGCCCGATCAAGAGCTACTTCTGCGTGCGCAACGAGGACTACCTGGCCGACTGTGCACTGGGCTTGGACAAACCGGGAGCGTCGGCCAAGCGACAGGCGTTCTCCCAGTGGATCCAAGACAGTATTATGGATTTCTTAGGTCTACATTAGGTACCTCTCGTGTATCCTCTACTCGTTCCCTCCGCCGACCGCCAACATCGCTACAACCCATACAGCTCTATACCGCTCGTCTTTGGACATAAAAATCAAACTGTGAATTTCATTGGGCGTGTACGATTGTATTAACTGTGTTAATAAAAATCACACGGCCTCGTTTGTAGCGAATTAGTCCATAGAAAATTAGTCCACAATATGTAATAAGTGATATTATAAAAATAAAATTCATCAAATTCGAACGTAGTGTTTTTATAATAATATTATATATTACGCTGAACCGTTAACGATAAGAAAAGTAGTACGTGCACACTGTATGCGTACCCGGTCGATAATGTGCCTACAATATTGACGCTATTAGTACGACGAGGTGGTTGGCGATGTGAAAATAATAATATTAATTTCATACTTTTAACAATGATTACATACTAAGTCCAAGACCGTCATAGCCACTAGTCGAATTTCAAAACCCAAGTAAAATTTATATAATCCTCCAACGACTAAGCCACAGGTTTTATAGTTATTAATTTCTATGCATACTCGAGCGACACAAAACCTACGTACAATATTATTCATAATTTTAATAGTTTATTGATTACAAGAAGTTACATTAACCGTCTCTTTGGCATATGTATTACAATATTTCTCTTTTTTTTTTTTTAGTAGAATAATATAGATGTTTTTTAACGCAGTCAAGTTCCTTATTTGCATGTACTATTATACATAAAATGATATGTATATTATATACACACAATGTTATATACTATTATAAACATATTTTTTGTATTTAACTATACATAGACAATTTCATATATTTTACGCATAATATGCATTTATAAAATAATCTCAAAAAAAGAAAACGTAGAACTCTTCCTACAGTTTGTTATTAATTCTAATTATTCATGTTTTTCCTCGTTAGAGTTTTAAAATTGCTATTATTATTATTTGATTTTATTTCCTCTCGTGATATTGCTAAATTTTAACTATACTATCTAGAATACAATTGTGTGTAAGGTATAATAAATATTATATACATTATATATTAACATTATTGAAGTATTACGTGTGTAAACGTTGTTTAATTTTTAGATGTGTGTACATTTTAAATACAATTTATGATATTTATTTTTTGTATAAGAAATCTCTGATTTAATGTGTAACTGTGTATTAAATGATTTAAACACTATTTTACTGTAGGTTTGTGGTTTAGAAATTTCTTAGTTTTAAATTAATTATTATTATTACGATTAATGTAAACGTTTGTTTTTCGTGATCATTTTCGAATTTCAATATTATATTGTCTCATTAAATATGATACGTTTCCAAAACCCATTAGTTAGATACCATTGCAACTCGCAAGCGACTTGTCGATTTTCTCTTGTGTTGTGTTTATTATTATTATTTAGGAAATTTATATATACATACTATAATATTAAAGTGTATTAAAATCATAATTGTTTTTAAAAATTAACCATTACCAACCATTTAACTGCGATATGTCGTTTGACAGTGTTGACCAAATTGTCGACACTATAATATTATAAGCAATGCACACAAAATGATCATACTCGATCTAAACCCTATACATATTATATAATTGGCTGTATTTAGTTAACTTGTACAAAACGGGATATCGTTTTGTGATATTTCATTATTATTATTATTATAATTTGTATTTACTCGTAAGGTAAATAATTCTATTATATCATATTATGTTATGTTAGTTATTATAGCTAATTATTATTGAGTAATGTGTAGTGTTTACTTTGCTGGAGACAGTCAATATTCTACGATAAACCGTTTTGGGTTGACATACACTTGGTTGGGCTAAGATGGCAATTTACTAAAGTGTTATGTTGTAAACATCACTAACATAATTTTACCGATTAAGATTTATATAATATTATTATATACATATATATTTGTGTTATGCCTACTTGAATGTGTGATTGTGAATAAACATTTTTTTTGTATTAATATGTGTACATTATTTGTATGTTAAAAAAACCATTTTTAAGTTGATTTCACGCGTCTGGTTTTATTTTACGTAAAGCTGTTTTGTAAAACAAGTTAGTCTATGTTTTATGTAATCCATTGTTGTGTCCAGAATGTTATCTTTAATACACAAAATATGGGATAGCTATTATCCAGGTATTCTAGATTCACAATAAACTGTTGACACAACGAGTATAGAGCCTATACTTAAAAGGCCAAAGCCTTAAGGTTTTAAAACATTGAAAGTATGCCAATGTCAGGCAGTGGATAAGAAATAACAAAAAATGAGTGTTTTATAGATGAGAATATTATCACTTGTCATGATAAAGACATAAGTGCATAAGTGCATAAAATGCATAACATTTTTTTATGTCTGGACCGACGATACTTCTTAAACCACTAAACTAATTTTTTCATATAGCAACGTTGTAGATCAGAAATCATATCTGAAATTAGTAATAACTTATTAGAAATAGAAATCATATCTGTATTAGTCAAACAGTTACCCCTTCAAAATAAAGACACTCCCAAAAAATGTGCCCATAATTTAACTTTAACCACAGCGCGCTATACAGTTTTAAAAAATAGTAGACTTAAATTTAAATTTGTATGGAATATTATTTAGATACAGTACTTACTTCTGAAAAAAATATACACCCTTGATCTTTGGAGTGGTAACTTTGTCTATTTAAATTTTTTGAGCATTGTTTTGGTACGAGGTCTGAAAATTAGATTGAAATTAGATTTAGAGTGAGGCTATAATATGTACGTACAGTTTTCTCAAAATGTGTAGTCAAACTTTTTTTTTTATTAAGGAGATACTATAAACAATTTGGAAAATTATACATTGCCTGTAGTAAATTTTTAGCTAACCACCCTAATAGAGTAAATGAACGGGCATCAGCAGTGTTTTAATATAAATGTAGCCTCGCTAACAATACGCTCGAGTGGTCCAATTGTTTTAAAAGTAATTGGAAAGGTTTGGAGAGGCTTTTTCCTAAATGGTATAACAACTTTTATTTTACACTAGGATGAAGTGAGATAACGGAAATTGTATGTGACAAATGCAATTATATAATTTTAAGCGAAATAAACATTTTGTTTTGTTTTTACTTAAACATACTTTAGCACCAAGAGTTTAAACCATTAAATATTAGTATTACTAAGATATTATATTATTATATATACTATATTAATTCATTATTAAATGAACTTAAAAAGTTCATTTGGCGCACTTGTTTCGTCCCATTAAATTGCAGTTACCCCCCTTCGCCTATTATAATAAGCTTTTAAAGTATTCAAAAAAATCCCGTTAAAATGGATGACTGCGATTTGATTTGTTAAGAAGGGACTGACCGAAGATTTAAAAAAAAATATTGTGGCATCTATCATCTAGTAAAGGTACTAAAAAGTTGAAATAATTTGAGTTTTTTGAAATTCTGTAGAGGTCAATTCTTTAGTCCCTCGCCTTTAGCTCCCTTTTTAAATAATATGAATAGGTTATACTAAATATATATACATATATTATATTATAATAAAGGGGGAGTAATCAAGTGGGGTTGCACCAAGTATTAAATGAGCTTTCAACAAAAAGTTTTTTATTGCAAGGTGTTTTATGGTACCTTTAAGGACACCAGTACGAAGCATACATTCTAGTGTCAATAAAGTAAATTATATATTTTTACCAGGTTTATACTACACATAAAACACCACGGTGTAGGTATTAGAAAAATATTATACAAGGTTTTCCTCGATTCATTTGGGTTTCAGTCGGAGGTATGCTTAGAACTACTTACTAGATACTTTCTGAAATATCAAAATGATAAGTAGTCTTAGTTCAAGGCCAGCTGCGGCATTGTGCCTCGAGTCGACTCAATGAGTTTTATTCATTTGAGTTAAACAAACATATTTAATTAAAATAATATAGGCAATCTTTCAATTTGTGTAAAATAATAAAAACATTATAAATCAAAAAACAGAAGTGTTTTATTTCTTATAATCTCAACATGAGGCTATTAACTTTATTTTCATTAATAAATATGAATATTTGTATATAATATATATTAGGCAAGTGTAGTGTTTCTAAATGTTATCTAAAACTTTAAATGATGTTCGTGAGAACATTTAAAACCGCATTCTGAAGTTAAGTTCAAATAAATCAAGTGTATAACTAATTTGTTTAAAAATGACTATACAAACAAAACACAATAAAAAATTAAGGTATTTATAAAAAAATGTTAATCGAATGTGAAAGGCAAGGGATACATAAACACAAACATATTGTAATTGCTTGATTCAGTCGTACAGCTATTGAACTTAAATAAAATTAACAGTGTACAAACAATTTTGAATATTTTTCTAAAAAAAAAATATATTTAAATATACTGTAGTATGTTGTTTTTATTAAAGATTAAGAAAGACAAATAAAAGGTATTATAATTCAAACTTATTATCGGGAAAATCCTTTTTGATGGAAAATATAACTAGTTAAATTTCAATTAAATACAATATAAATGTTTCGTTATGGTAAAAAAAAAAAAAAAAAAACTAATCAAAAAGTTAATAAAAAAAATTAATTAAAATTCAGACATAATGAGTATAATAAGTAAGCACCACAACTACACATATTAATGACTAAATTGAAAAAATGACTAGATTTTATTGGTAATTATTATTATCATACAATATTTAATTCTAAACATACAAATATTTTACATCCTATGTACAATAGTAATATATAAATGGATATATAAATAAACAAAAACCACAAATCATTTTCGTAATAAGTTTTGATAAAATACACGCAAACAAAATTAAGTTTTGTCTTAGACGATTACACACGTTTTTTTCGAATTATTTAGCTCCGAAGTATTTAATGTTTTAGTAATTTTTAAGAACTGTTTTGAAATATTTTGGTTAGTTTTGAATTTAGCTGCTTCAGTCTTTTAATACTAACTTATTTCGAAAATGTAGTTACTTTACTTAGTTTAGTTTTGTAATATTAAAATATACAATGAATCGCTCATAAAGTAGTAGATTATTTACTAGACATAGTTCAACAATTGCTTTCACACATTGAAATATATATATATTTTGTAAATTTTTTTTTTTTGCTGTTTTGAACTGGGACGTTGTTATATGTGTGTGTAATTAAATTTAAGATTTATAACTTTTTAAAAAGCTAATAGCATAGATATATAAGTTAACATAATAGGAAATTGAATGAGAATTATATAGGAACTTAAAAATTTCATACTAGCTGCTTTTTAACATTATCTCTCTTTAATGTAAAAAAAAATAATAAACTAAGTTATAGATGTAAAGAGATCTTCTGTTATAGAGCAAAAATTTCATAGCGATTCATAGTAAAACATTCAGAGGGTAATCTATTAATTATTTCCATGTTATCAATAAAGATAGGCAAGACCTTAGAATATATCTACCTTTATCACAGCCTTAGTGGGTTGTTGACAATATATTCAAATAAATTAGATAGGTACGATGAATAAATAAAAAAACCAATTGGATTGCGTAATTTATAAGACATGTACAGATTTGACAACGCTTGGAAAAAAAAAGGGCATGGAGCTAACAAGGTTACTTTAAATATAGCAATAATAAAAACAGATGCAAAATGATATTTTCCATGTTATATAGTTAATATTAATTTAAGAACTATTGTACTTAATAAAATTACGACATAATACTTTTAAAATCACACGAGTTATTTAAGTATTGAAATACAATTTTATCTTGGCTAAAAAAGAAACAAAAATAGTAATCCATTTATATTAACTGAGTGAATAGCGCACTAAAATATCTAATATAAGTGGTAAAATGTAAATTACACTCAAATTGCGTAACTATAAATAGAACATAGATAAATATGAAGTGAAAAACGCAATAAGAAAATAAGGCTTAGAGGAAACAAACTTGGCCTTTATATTATGTGGATTAAACTGAATTATTCACTTATGCCAAAAAAAAAAAAAAGTATTTATACACACATATTATATATTATGTTGTAAATTAAATTGTGTACATATAATTGGTTATATATTGAATTTGATTCATAAATAAGATTTTCGTATAATATTAAGAAGATTGATAACATTTTTAAGTTCATAGAAAATAAATAAGTTGTCATTTTCAAGGAAAAAAAGAATATAAGTATCTAACACATGACGTATATTATAATAGTTTTTAATCCCTAGCAAACTCAGTAGGTTTATAAATTTGATACCGACGACATCTGTCAAGTTAATATAGGTAAATAATTAATATATTTCACACTAACTAAAAAATTTAATTTCTATTTATCTTACCTAGCGTTACTTTCGACAAGTGGTTGAACATCTGATGAATACATACTCGGAGGTGGTATAAGGGTAGGAGATGATAAAATATCAGTCTCATAATTTCGTTCAAGACTTCTACTGGATGATCCGGACAATGGTCTGAAACTTGAAAACACTCCACTACTATCATCCTGGCTACCAGAGAATCTGAATTTTAAAAAAAATGTTTAATAAAAATTAATACTAATTAAAAAAAAAATTAATTTATGCTAAACCCGGTCTAATGATCATTAATAACTGTATTTACTTTATTTTATTCATAAGTAAATATAAGCTAAAACAGTTCAGTTTTCGAGAATTTTGCATCTATTAGAACATTTATTGTGCTTCGAAAAATAGTAGTTTGACACCCTCTTAATAATCAAAATGAATAATATAAAATCTATAGAGCTAAGCTAAGGGCAAAGCAAGCTCACATTTTAATGTTCAGGACTTGGGAGTATTAGAATGTGTTATAAAAACAGGTTATCTAAAACGAACAATTGAATAGATTTTTAAAATCACGTTAATTGTTTTTGACAATATAACTCGATTATTTGATAAAATTATTATTTGAATAATTAATTAGAAACAACTGTAGTAATAACTATTATTTAATATATGATTTGGATTTTGTACCTTGATCTATAAAACGAATCTCTAGATCTTCGTATTTGAGGCCTTTGGAATCTTAAATTTAATTGAGACGGATCTGTGACATATTTATCTTGATTTTGTCTACGTCGCCTCAGGCCGGGTGTATATTGGTCATCAATTTCATCATGTGCTCTAGGTGGTTTACTACGAACATCGGTGAGTACATTTTGACCTCGGTTTTTCAATATTGGGTCCGGTAACTTATTTCCATTATTACTGACTATACTAGATTTAGATTCATCGCTGTAAAAAAAATTGTTGTAATGAATTTTATACTTATTAAAAAAAATCTCCTTCTCGGTTGCCATAATAAAATTAAGTACCTATAAACAGGTAGATTTGTTTCAGTGCCATCCGATGATTTAAAATTGACTGGAAGAGGAATTTTACTATTTTTGTTGAGTAGTATTGCCTGTGGTGGTTTTTTGTTCCTTAAAAAAGTAATTAAAATTATTTGTTAAGTATTATAATAAATTATATACTTTACATATTTACCTGCTATGGTCAGGCATTCTATTGTTTGGGTCAGAGGATGAATATGATTTTAGGCTAATGTTAGACAACTCATTTTCTTCAAAATGTTTGCCATTCAAATTCATTAGGTCACTGTTTCTATTTCTTGACCATTTTCGGTGAGCTGTAAGTACATTTATAATATTAAATTATGTGTTTTCTATTTATTGTTATAATTATAAATAGGGTGAAGGAAGATATTTTCGTGGCATAAGCAATTTTGTGATATAGTTTGTTTGATCGTATCGCGTAATTCCCTATTAGAAAATTGTCTTGAAAATAACTGTTATTTTAACAATCAGTGTGATTTTCAAGACAATTTTCTAATAGGGAATTACGCGATACGATCAAACAAACTATATCACGAAATTGCTTATGCCACGAAAATACCTTCCTTCACCCTACTAATTTACTATTCGAATATGTGTATCACAATATCTAATACATTTTCATAGAAATGTATGTTAAATTGTAGTTGTATTTTAAAGAAAATTGGCGTAAAAATACAATTAAATTATAGTTAGTACCTACTACAGTTAAAATTATTCATTATTATTAATTTTTTGGGGTTAGGCAAAGAAAAAGTATATTAATTAGTAGAAATATTTTTCAATTGCACAAATAGTACTTTTTTAATTATAATAATCATTATGTAAAAGCCTTAAACATTTTAATTGTAAAAAAGGGGGGACTATAGGTATTACAGGAATTTAGTGCCTTATCATGTTTAAAAAAAAACAATATTTTTTTTAATTTTTACTTAATGAATAATTAGTTTTAAGTTATTACCAGTAAACTAACTAACAACTATTTTTGTGAAGTATTTATAATGGTAAATATATATGATGCTTATTTTTAATATCACCAAACTGTTTAAAGATCTAGTGAATTTCCTCAACATTTTAATTATATTATTATGATCATATGTGCTGCGATGGTTTCCCGTTTCTTCCTGCACCAGTGGGTGGCAATTTCTCTCTCCAAACAGTTGCCCAGTGAGAGAATTGACCAGCCACCGAGATTCGAACAACAACAAGTGTGTAAAAGCACTGCCATGTTAATCCTATCGGCTATGAAGCTACATATCCATGTTAGTCATGCTTGATTAATGCACAAGAGTAGGTTAGAAAAATGGAATGTAAATATAATGTTATAACATTAATCGGTTAAAAGGCATTAATGAAATTTCAAAAATAAGTTTACTGCTAAAACAGACCTTCATCATTTTCTTCATTGTTTTCTGGTGTTGATTTAATATTCATTGCATCATAATTATTATCATTACCATTCACATGACGATCAATAACTCTGATTTCCAACTTTCCTGACACAGTCTCCATTGGACAATTTTCAGAGTCATCGTTTCCTAGTTATGCCATAATTTTTTGAAATTCATTCGAACTTATTTAAACCTACTCTTTTTATATAAATAGTGGTCAACTGATTATGTGACTTTTTTTGTGAATGACAATCGATAGATCGTAAATTGAGATAGATATAGTCAATAATTATAACTGCATAATGTCTTTATAATTAAACTTAATAACTAAGTTATAAATTACTATGTTAATAATAAAAATGTTAGCATGAAAAAAACCAATAACTTTAAAACTGAAAACTATGTGTGGTAAATACCCTTCCCCTTCCATACTCCTATTTTTGTAAACATCACTTTTTTTTTTATATTGGATACACTACCAAATACTTTTTCCTGATCTTTCCAATTCTCAGTAGTACATTCATGTAACCGTCATTAATTACAGTGTAAAATTTCATTCTTATAAAAATATAAAAATATTTAAAATATTCACTTTTAATAATTTTTTTTTAATCACTACCTAAATCACACTAAAATATAATTTCTATAAAACAAATTTGAAAATATCATTATTAAGAAATTGTGTTCACAATCATACAATAACAATTGCCACACATCAGTTAACCACTACCTTTTGTTGTGCTATTAATTGACCTGTATGTATTAACAATTACACCCTATATGCCAACTGAATGATAATTTAAACAATAGTGAATAAACTCAAGTAATTTAAAATAGCTTCAAACTTAAGTATGCTTAGCTTTTAAAATTTATCTGTAACAACTGTGAATAAGTGTGTAAGTCGATTACAGTGATTTTACAGGGGAGTGATTTTAAACTGACCAGCTGCCATAAATCAGCATGTAATAATCATGAACTCGCATCTCTCTCAAGGTTTTCTTGTTGGTCCAACGAGTTAGACATTTATTGAAGGTGTGCTAGGCGCTTCAGACTACTTCCTTTCGTACTTAGTCAATTTTGACCAAAATTCGACTTCCACACTTATTCACAGTTGTTACAGATACAATATTTATAAATATTTGTATAAATGTTCATCAAGTATGACTAATTACGGAAAAAATCAAAGAAAATAATTTGTCTTATTAATCTTAAGTTTGAACAAACTGTAATAATAAAAGTTTAATTTAATTTACTAATTTTAGGTTAAAAAAAATAATTTTTATCAAGTAGAAAACTGTACATTTAATAAACTAGACTTGACAAAAAATAATTCGGAGGTATTATAAAATATGTTACTTAATAATTCATATAAAGTTTTTGATAATGGATATCAAAGAAAAAAAATACTAATTTATACATATATTTTTAACTAAATTAATGTGATTATTCGCAAATTTGTTGAATATTTTTCAATAGTCAATAATGATTAACATTGACTGATAAATTGTTTGTTTTAATTTTAACTTTAATTTTGAACACAGTAACAAATTAAAATCTCAAAAATATTGAATAAAGCACTGACCATTTTTAAGAGATTCATCGGCATATAATTTTCCCGATATTTCATCAGCGTCATTGGAAGATCTGGTAGTGTTAGTGGTAACTTGCAGAGAAGGAACTTTTAATTTCATTTTAGTTTGTCGTATCAATTGTGTGTGCAAATCTTTTTTAGGAATAACGCTCAAACTTATGTTCTATAAACCATTTACAACATATCACACAATTATTTTCATTTTCTCAAACTACACACAAGTTAGTAGCTTGGTACTTACAGCTATACTAATGGATCTTTGTAAATGTTTTGTATTATTTTTGTACGAGTTTCTCATGGCTATATTTCTACTTGTATCAAGTTCATAAACTACATCATCAAATACCGCTTCTTGCAGCCAAGGTGGTTCGAGATTAGTTCTTAATAAAAATGTAATTCAGTTAGAAATTATTTTATATGAATTTTTTTCATATTATGTATGTACCTTATTTTAGAGGCTATTTGTATTTCGCTCCATGCTCGTGATAAAACAGAATTATGCAATAAACTATCTTGATATTTTGCAAGACATTGCATTAACTGATCTCTTCCAATAATCTTATCGGGTGTTTTACACGAACTATTAGGATGATAATAGGAATTGTTGTCCTTTCCACTCTATAGTTGAAAATAAAACTCTAGTGAGAAACTGTGTTGCTATTAAAAAATATATATATTCTTACATACCATTGAAGTACCATGTAAGCTTAATCGATGTTCGGGGCTTTGTAGATTTTCCCCTTTCCATTCGTTGTCAGTTTCTTCAGAATCGTCAAACTGTGACTTCCACTGCGACATTAGAGTTAGACCTTTGAAATATTCTTTTAATTAATACTTAAGAAAAAAAAAGGAATCACACGCTAACTAGCATTTACCTCCTCCACCTCCTCTTGTGACTTGTTGCATAGCAGATATGTTATCATCGTCAATGACAGCAAATTGTGTATATGTTACATCCCTGGTTGTAGTAGTAGACGATTTTAAGGCTTGTCTATTAGACGTAGGCTGACGTCTGGCAAAATGTAAGCTGCGCTGCTCTTTCTTTACTTGATTCGAAACATTATCTGCCTCGACCACAGGAGAACTTGATGTGGGAACTAAAATTAGTAAAATAAAATTTTTAAAAAAAACATTTACAGCTGAAAACATAATTTTTAAAGTCATTTTCAATCATTGTATACAAACATTTATATTTTAGATTAATTTATAGCACTCCCTACCAAATAAGTAGAGCTCTGAGTGTGTGTGGGGAGGGCGTGGACTATGACTGTTTTACAGTGTTGTAGGAACTGAACGCCAGTGGCGGATCAAACGGTCGTTAAGTCGGCAAATGCCGAGAGGGCCCTCTCCTAAATTGTGTACTGGGGCCCCTAAATTAAATTTTTTTTAATTTTAATTTTGACAAAAAAAAAATATATATATATATTGCAAATTGGAATACCACCTACTGTTGATTACAACAAATATTACTTATAATTATAAGCAATGCTACTCAATGTATGAACTATGAATTTAAATCAATTTGGCTGCATGACAATCTCTTGTAAAATTATATAATATCATACATAGTACCTACCATTTTGGGTTTTCCCATACATTTAAAATTAAAATACACAAATTTCTGTTCACTAGACATTCGTGAGTTTATGACTAGTAAAATCTGTTATTTTAATTAATTTATTCCAACACGAAAATTTTCAGTAAAACAAAGATTTGATTCGGAGGCACAAAAAAGAACAAAAAAAAAGTTAACTTCTTGTAGCATCTAGTGAATGTCTAAAACAAACAAAACTGACATTTACATACAACACTAATACAATAAATAATATATCCGCAATGAATTCTGAGATCAATGAGACCATTGATGAAATAAATTCAAATAATGAAATAATTGAACAAAATGTGTAAGTTTGATATTTTAGATCACCCAATCACCGTAATGTCATCAGACAAAGCTTGTTATTTGAAAATTACAAATGAGTTGTCACAATCCATACTAAAACTCATTGATATGAACGATCTTATCAACAAGTTCTCCAAGGCTAAAGTTTGCATAGGTTTTAACTATAATTTTTAAATTTTATTTTATATACCTACTGTTAATTTTGTTTTATTTGTAAAAATGATGTATTTTTTTTTTTTTTAATAAGAAAAATTTGTTATTATAAAATGGGGGTAAGTATATTAATGATACATTTTGTACGAGGCCCCTCTTACGGATTTGCCTACTTTATTTGAACCTATAAATTCGCAACATTTTATACTACTAATACTTAGGAGACTCCATTCAATATTGTACTTTATATTAATACCTTTAGTAGCTTCTTGAGTTGTCAGTACTGATGTTGATGTGACCAAATTGCCTATTTCAGAATTTACAACAGGTTCAACACTCAAAGGTAGATTACCAGGATCTACCATACAATTTGTTGTTTGTGATGAATTACGCTTTGATGATTCTAAGATCTCAGTCTCTCTTTCTAATCCAGGCATTGAAACTGCTCTGCGTTGCACTGCTTTCTTTGGTGAACCTAAAATAAATGTTTCATGATGAATTTACTCAAACATTATTTAAGTTGGAATATCACGATTGCTTTATAGATATAATTTTTTATAATCAAAACTTTACTTTTAGGAACAGGCAAATGGTTTAGTGGAGGACCAGAGGTTGCACTGTAGTTTTTATTAGTAGTCGAAACTCTGTTAGATCCTGAATTATTTATATCACCATCATGTTTATGAACTCGCCGATATACTATATTATTTTCACATTGCACTTTTTCCTATTAAGACAAATGCAAGTTGTAAATCATTATTACTGTAATAATACGTCTGTTTCGCAGTGTGCATGAATCAAACTAGATACCTCTATTGTCAAGTTTGACCCCCTATAACACTGCACCACCACGTAGGTCAATCTATAATAATTAATGTTTTTACCATAGATTTGACATAATTAATATTGATTACTTTTTTATTTTCTGGAACATCCTCATGATCATTATCTAAAGCTGTTGAAATAGCGAGCTGATTGTTAAGTTCACCACCATAAGAAGTACAAGTCATTGGCCGAGATATCACAGCAGGGGTAGTGTTGTTTGTATGAACACTAACTGTAACTGCTGGTTGAACAATTTCTGAAGGTTTTTCCCAATCAAATGGATCAGATTCTTTAACTCCCCGACGTTTCATACATCGTTCAAAAAGACTCGTTAGCATAGAATAATCAGGTTTGTCCCCATATTCTAGAGACTAAAAGTAAAAATTAATTAATGATGGCTTCTAACAACTTAGATTCGCCTCTCTTTTTTCTATATACTTTGCGTCTGTCTTCAAACCTGTCAATTCATCCCATCTTTCTGACTACTTTTTTAAGCTACCTTACTCTCTTCCATCTGTCACTTTTCTCCTGATGATGTTCTTACCACTATTTATAAATTGAAACTTGTTTTTTATAATGGGCCTGATGGAATCTCAGCTTACCTACTCTATCAATGTAGTTTCTCTTTATTCTTTCCTTTATTTCTTCTATTCAGAAAGTATATGGAAAGTATTTTTCCATTAGTTTGGAAAATCTGCTCCATCACTCGAGTTCTTTAATTCTTAAATATTATCCTTTATCTATTTCACCTTACGTCGCTAAAATATTTGAATCTTTTGTCTATAATTATGTGAGCCTAAATAAAATCATATTCTTATCCCGCAGCCGCATGTGTTCCGGTCAGAGAACAGTACTACTACGAGTTGTGTGTCATTCTCTTCCTATAACTCTAGGGTTTCTATAATCAAAGATCTTGGCATTTATTACTCCTGTACTACCCTTTTAGCCGCCATATGGATGTTATCATAGGTAGAGCTCTAAAAGTCTTAGTTCTTCTCATAGCGTAATACGAAGCTCTTTAGTTAAGGAAATTGTCTTTGGTCTTTGTATTTCCCTCTTTTTCAATCCATTCTAAGTATGGGGTTGTTGTTTGGCATCCTTATCTGGCTAAGGATCAAATACGTCTTGAGTGTGTCTAACATACATTTTTAACTTAAGCTGCTTACATACTTTAATTACCTCCACTGCAACATGAAAACTCCTATATTAGCCATATTCTTAATTAAACTTTTTTATCGTCCCATCGTAATAATGCCGACTCAATTTATTAATGCTCTCCTCAATAATTCTTTAGATGCTCTTGACGACCTTCTCTCCAGTGTTTTATTCCAAGATCCTTCACACATCACTAGAAATCTAACTCCTTTTCATATTCCTATTCATTTTACTTCCTATAGTCATAAATCATAATCATCCAATTCACAGAATGTTCAGATCAGCGAATCTAGTGTGACCTTTATGGCTTTATCGATACATCACTTACTGTAAATTTGTATTTATTATTATCACAATATTATATTATTATTTCTATATTTATTATTTATATTTGTCTTATCTTATGTTTAAATGTATTAGTATATTAACTATTGAACTTTATAACAGTTAATTGGCGTTAATACTCAAAATAAATAATAATAAATAAATAATAATTTTGAACATTTAGAATTTTGAAAACAGCTTCTAATTTATCTATGTAAGGTCATCTCTGCCCCTTTCTAGGGAAAAGTTTCTGGACGAATTCGCTATCCGGGATGGGTTGTTAGGCCATCACCGGAGAGAGAAATGGCGGCTTATATTCACACTGACACTTTACACACTCTGTCACTCATCTTCTAATATAATATTATATTAAAGAATATATATAATAAAAATTGTGAGTTCATAAAAACGTTATAAAAATAGGTAACAACCTGAATGTGGTCTAAAAATTGTTTCAAATCAGATGGGAGATGTTTAAGAAGTGAACGATGATCATAGTTTTCTTTCATTACACCAACTTGTTCTTTGTCTTTGATTTTTCGCCATGGTAATTGTCCGTTAACAAATTCAGCTAGCATATAAAATAGCGACCACAGATCATCATGTCTTCCCATTTCCTTAAAAATTATCACAAATTAAAATGTAAATATAAGAAATACCAATTCATTTATAATAATAATAAATAATATACTTTATTTTTATGAGCATTTAATGAAGCATATCTAACAGTGCCCCGAAAACCAGCTGCTGTTCTAGGAGTTCTGATTTCACCACTAGATGTAGTAAATTGCCTAGCTAAGCCATAGTCCAACATAAAGACACAACGACAATTTTGATGAAGTCTTCCAACTGCGAAGTTAGACTAATGATATTTGAAACAATATTAAAATTTGAATTAGAACAAAAATTTACAATATGAAATATTTATTAAAGTATGAACTTACTGGTTTGATGTCTCTATGTAAAAATCCAACTTCGTGTATACTTTCAATAGCTTTCAGAATTTGATGTCCTAATCTCAGTGTAGTAGATAGTGAAAATGCACCTCTTGGTTGGGCTCTTCTCAATTCTGCTAAATTTTTTCCTTGTAACTGCATTACAACATAGTTGAAACGCTCGTTTCGTCCACAACCAATGAAGCGGCACACATGTTCCTTTCCTAATAAATAATTTCAATAATATATCAATAAATTAATATTGTAAATTTAATTTAAACATTTTTCTAGCTTGAATAATTATTACCAACTCTTGTGTAACATTATCACATAAAATACTTGACACTTTTCTCCACTTAATCCAACAAAACTTAATCCTATGTTTCATATCCTCATCAAAGCCACTATTCTTTTGTACTTAAAACTCTCAACTTCACCTACTACGTCACGCCTTATTGTTATTACTTATCTTATTCCGACAACCTCGTTCTCTCCTCCAAACTCATATACTCTATTTATTTTGTTCTACACAAATACTTCATACATATCTTCAATTAAACTAATATAATCGTTCTTTGAACCTATAAAAACCATAAATAGGTTTTTCCTCTTCTCTCTAACCTTTTCTACATACTGTCTCACACACAACACTGGTTCAATCGTCAATTTTCCTGGCATAAATCCACACTGCTTTTTAGATATTGATGTCTCATTTCAAATAATTTTTCCCCAAATTTTCATACTATGTGTTGTATATTGTTATATTTATAATATGGTTATTCAGATAACACTAATTAATGTGTACGCAGTGGGGACTGTTCACGGCGTACGCTAATATTGAAAATAATTACTTGTCATTGCTGTTATAGCGTTTCATAATAAACTTCTTTTATTAATCCTAAAGTTGAGTTGTATTCTTCAACAATTAAGTATACAACAAATTGGCGACGAAGATTTAATTTTTTTTTTTGTTTGTTGCTAGTATATAACATATTTTATATACATATTGTTAGTAAAAAATATTAAAAAAAAAAAAAACCGAACTCGTTTAACATGACACAATCATCACGCAACGACGGAGCACCATCGACGTCAGTAAGGACCATCTACTTGCAAGTCATCGGCACTCCGGAAATTGTTGATTAAGAGACGAATGTAAAGATATATTTCGCTCGGCTAAAGAACTTTTTCGCCGCCAACGGCATCACAAAGGAGAGTAAGAAGAGGGCAATTTTGCTATCCTCGATTTCGGAGGACGTGCATAAAATTCTGTTCAGTCTGTGTTTGCCCGAGGACCCCGACGGTAAGACTTTTGAGTCGTTATCGGTCATACTGCAAAATCACTATGAGGCAAAAAAAATTGTATTTTGCCGCCCGCCACCAGTTTTACCTAGCTCGTAAAAACCACGATGAAAGTGTGGTCCAGTGGGGCGCTCGCGTACGCAAACTTGCGTCTAAATGCGGTTTTGGGCCAGAGCTGGAGGTAGTAGTGCGAGACGTATTCGTTGTTGGAATGGGATCCGGCAAGATCCAGGATCGATTACTGGAAGAGGATGCGTCAGTAGCATCAACCACGCTGGTTAAGCTGATGGAGGTGGCGACCACGAAGGAGGCCAACATCAACGCGAGTAAAGAGTGGTCAAGGGAAACGACCAGTGCGCTCCACTTCACCAAACAGAAAGGGAGTCAAGTATACACGACACCGAAGCGAAATGGAGTTAAGCTGACAAGTGGACATCACCAGAATGGGGCCACGAGTAACCAAGCCAACGGGAAAGGGAAGTGCCAAGTATGCGGCCGTTCCAACCACGACACCGGATCATGCAGGTTTAAACATTATTCTTGTAATGTGGGTAGCGGGGTAGTAGGTCATTTGGCCCCTATGTGCAAAGCTAGGGGTACACAAAATAAAGGTACTAAGTATAAGGCGCAATATAAGTTTTTAACGGTAAAGGAGCGGTCAGGCGATCACGATTCTTGCGTAGATTTAATCGATTCTTTTTTTGTACTTAATGATATTTCCTGAGATAAGCTTAAAGTAGCCGCGTATCAAATTAATTTAGCTGTCGAAGGTAAACCTATAGGCTATAACCTTTGAAATTGATACCGGTTCTGTGCACAGTATTATTTCCGAATCGACGTTTAAATCATTAATAGGTCCAAAGGTAATTGTCACTAACGACGTCGAGTTATCAGATTACGTCGGCAATAGAATCACACCGATAGGTAAGGTAGCGCTCACCGTCACGTATAACAATAAAAAAGCCGACATATGGGTGTATATTGTTTAAAACGGGGGACCACCGTTACTCGGTAGAAATGATTTATCAACGCTCGGTATTAATAACGTGTTAAACTTAAAGTGTAATTTTACCGGCGCAGAGGATAGCGTTGAAACGGTTTTAAAAAAGTATCCAAACGTGTTCAGTGAGAAGCTGGGGATTTTTAATGGATACAAAATATCACTAAAAGTAAAACCGGGGATCACGCCAAAGTTTTTTAAACATCGTCTAGTTCCATTAGCATTAAGGGGAAAAGTTGAAACCGAGATAGAACGACTGTTGTCTATCAACGCTTTGATACCCGTCGACCACAGTGAATGGGCAACTCCCGTAGTTCCAATATTGAAAGGGGACGGTAGTGTCAGGCTGTGCGGAGACTTTAAAATTACCATAAATCCCGTGTTAATCAGTACGGAATATCCCCTGCCCAAGATAGAACACCTTTACGCCAGAATAGCGGGCGCGAGATATTTTTCTAAAATAGACTTGAAGGACGCTTATCAGCAGTTGGTACTCGACGATAATTCACGCGCGTTAACGACCATAAATACGATTAAAGGTTTATTTAGGTACACACGCGTTCCGTTCGGTTTAAAATCATCGGCGGGTGAATTTCAGAAAGCAATTGAAAGTATCACAAAAAAAATAGAGGGAGTGGAAGTGTTCATTGATGATATCATAGTATCGGGTAAAACGGTGCCTGAACACAACGCACGTTTGGACCAACTTTTAAAAGCACTCGGCTCAGCAGGGCTAAAAGTAAGAGAGCGTAAGTGTAGTTTTTTGCAGACAGCGGTGGAATATCTAGGTCATAAAATAGACAGACAAGGTTTGCATACCTTAGATAAACACACAACCGCGATTAAGGAGGCAGCGGCGCCTCAGAACCGGTCCGATTTAAAAAGCTTCCTCGGGTTGGTAACATATTATACTAAATTCGTTAAAAACGCGGCACGGATTCTAAAACCATTGTACGACCTTTTAAAAGCGGGGGCAAAATGGTCTTGGTCCAAAGAAGCGGGCGACGCGTTTGATAATATCAAATCAATATTGTCGTCTAAGCCCGTACTTAACCACTACGATCCGTCGGTACCAATTAAATTAATGGTGGACGCAAGTTCGATTGCGGTCGGCGCGGTAATCGCACAGGTATACGGCAACGCTGAAAAACCAGTAGCTTATGCTTCGCGTGTGTTGTCAGAAAGGGAACGTAAATACCCGCAAATCGAAAAAGAGGGATTAGCGATTATATACGGCGTTCAAAAGTTTTACGACTACTTGTACGCACGCAGATTTACCCTAGTTACCGATCACAAACCGCTCTACCACATTTTTGGGGAAAAGAAAGGTATACCGGTTTACGCGGCAAATAGACAAAGGGGAGAGGTGTTGTATATTGTTATATTGTTATATTTTTAATATGGTTATTCAGATAACACTAATTAATGTGTACGCAGTGGGGACTGTTCACGGCGTACGCTAATATTGAAAATAATTACTTGTCATTGCTGTTATAGCGTTTCATAATAAACGTCTTTTATCAATCCTAAAGTTGAGCTGTATTCTTCAACAATTAAGTATACAACACTATGACTCATCAATTTTATTCTTCTATAAATATAGAGACTACAACTCTTTTTTCACTTGTATGGCATTTCCCTTCTACTAGCACTTTTAACAAAAAACATCCAACCAGTCTATGCTTACACCCTTAACATTTCCCACATTTCCACTGGTACTCTATCTGGTCTTCTCGCTTTTTTCTTTTCCGTGGATCTCACAGCCAATCACACATCTTCCGCTCACTAAATTTACCAAATGGCTATTTTTTAATCTTCTTTATAAACTCTTTTTCTTTGTCTCCTATTAATTCCCATCATCAATCCTCAACCCCTTTCTTTTTTGTTCTTTATATTTTTTATGCACTCTCTTCTCACTATACCAAAACTCTAAAACCATTCACCTATGATGTGGTAAATCTTTTAATTAATAATACATTCATCTTTTAATTTACCTTGCAGTTTTTTTAAGACAGCTACCTCCATTTTTAAAACTTGCTTAGGTTGACGAGCTGATTCTACTTTTAATGCTATAAGTTCTTTAGTAACTAGATCTTGTCCTTCATAGATTTCTCCAAATCCACCACCACCGATTTTTCTAGCCTATAAAGTAAATAAATAACATAATTTACATATAGTATATCTTTCAATGAAAGAAATGAAAAAACAAATATTGCTTTAATGTATTTAAAAACCACAAGTTATCAATATACTTGATAAGTATTTGTAAACTACATTAAAAAAAAATTATTACATATTAATTTTTATCTCAGAAGTATACATCTAAAATCTTTCTGTTGTCTGGCTGGTTTTGAAAATTATTAAATTAGTGTTTGATTATGTAATCGTGGGACTAATTTTAATTACAGTCTAAATATAATTTAAAAAATAGTATACTCGTACTAAAAAATGAATAACTTTAAAACTTGTTACTACATGGAAAAATTATTACTACATTTATTTTTCTCTTTAATTATTTGATTCCAAATTATGAGTACTCTAATTACTCGGTCAATAAAGCTGTTGTTGCTTTTGGGTAACATCCAACATTCATATTTCACTATATTATTATTTGGTCTATTAAGAGAATTTTATACTAAACAATAAATTTATGTTCATTACACCCACTAAAAAAATTAATTTAATAAGTGAGTATTGTTTATTTTATTACCTAAATGTCATATGCTCATATAAAACTATTTCAGGGATATGTGTAGTTATGTACCAAAGTAATAACAAAAATGAGTTATTATGTAACTAGTGATAAGGGTGTATCACTCATTTTATATCCAATAACTGCAGTCTGCTTGTGTGTTAATAACAACTATTCTGTATTAATATTATTAGCTTTATTCACTGTTTGTAACAATAAAATGTTTAAGCAAACATAAAAAAAAAAATACAGTATAATAATTAAAAAATGGAATATATAGAGTCAATATTTAACGTTTATATTGTACACAAATTAATATACATTTTAAGGTTATGCACGTGAAGTTACAAGAATATATTATCAGACGTGCTTTCTACACATACTAGAAACATTAAAGATTTTGAATGTATATAGCTGCCAATTATGATACTATTAAAAGTTAGAAATATTAGTTGGTAAATTCGTACTTATGAGCATTTTATTAAACTGCTCATTACAATTAACGCATTCGCTAACAATGTAAGAAAAATAACTTAATAGAAATGTTTTGTTTTAGTGTTGTTGAAAGAAATATAAATAAAAAACTTGGATAGTGTTGACAAGATGTACAATTGAGATTATTAATAGACAGTTAAACGAGTGGGAGACAAAATGTTTACTTACCACCTTCCACCTTTCCTTCACTATGTGCCCTGGTTGCAACAGATCTTCGGAAGACATTGTATATATTTTTAAATAGCGGTTACAATTTATTCCACTTTCAACAATTATTCTTCAGCAATATTGAACCACAACTATAAGCAAAAAAAAAAAATCATATATTTAAAAATTTATTTTTTAAAAAAAGGATCAAATTACTACATTATTTTCAATGAATTGTAATAACTAATTTAATGTTAATTAATATTAATGCATCATATTCTATCCTAAATGATAACTACTTTAATATATTCTATTGTTTAAAAAGAAATTGTTTTACCTACATACTTAGAAATAATATATACATATATATATTGGGGAAATTTAATGTACAATTATAGAAGTAATTTTATTTCAGAAATATTTATAAAAAACAATGACAAAATTATAATTTATATTTAATCATAATTAACACTTAAAATGTAATCCACTCACATATTTAAATTTACTTAACACAAGTGTAGTGTCATAAGTTGAGCAATCAAATTCTCCAACTCGAGTTATATTTTTCTTAGAGTAAAATGTTTTATAACATTGTGTTGAACTAATTAGAACCTTACTACCATTGCCTAATTTATAATGAAAATTATAATTTGATTAAGAATCATTTTATACAGTAGACTATTAATTATTATTATTATTATTAACTAGAACTCCTTTTTAAATCTTGGCTAGTGTATAAATAAATTCAGTGAAGAAATATGGACATTTTTTTTTGGATATTGGCCCACAAGCGCTGGTTATAACTTGTTTTTTTTAATAAATGTGTTTTCTCTAATCTGAAATTTTCCAGGAAACTAATTTAAGTTAAAAAAAATACATACATAATAATTAAAAACATATACATGATGTACCCTATGGTATATGTTTGAGGCTGTTAGACATATCATGGTACATTTTTTTTGTAAATATTATTTATGAGAAACTCCAATATAAGAATAACTTTATTTTGTGTGTACAAACTTAATAAATAGGAAGAACATATAAGTATATAAATAGGAATTTTTTTTAGATATTTTTAATACCTATGTTTATTTATAATGTAGTTGTTGAACATGGAATCTTATGTTCTTTATTCAATTTGTTTCTTCAACAAAAATACAATATAAAAGTTATGTTGGTATTACTTTACTTTGACTCATAGACTAATATAAAATACATGTTTTTTGTATTATCTTTAGAAACAAACATAATTGGATGCCATTCAATTGCAAGACATAGAAAAATACACAATATATACCTATTCACCATAGTTTAAAAATAATGATTTAAATCTTTTGAGGTTACCTACAAAAAAATAAAAATACGGGTCACTATACTTATTAGTCTGTTTTCAATATTAATTGTTGTAAGAATGGTCTATTTTTTTGTTTTGGTCAACACTTGACCAGTTTGTTTTTAATTTTGTCATCTTATATATGAACCGTATAGTTGGTAATGGATGTAAATGAATTATTGATTGAATACTATTAAGGTAGTAAAAATGACTACGAAAATAGTGCTAACATCATATAAAATGATTAAGAATAATTATTTTTTATGTAGAATATTTCCTACAAACTAGATGGATCTCCAACTTTTTATTTAATAAATAAAAATAATAAATATCTAAGGTTAAAAAAATAAAACAAGTTATAACTATGCTGCATTAGTACTCTACTTTTCTAGCAGCAATTGACAATAGTATTTCTACTAAAAATTAATTAAAAGTTAAATAGTAAAAATTGAAAGTGTTGCTGAAATTGATACTACATAAGTCAGTCAAAAAGTTTTAATGGAGTTTTCTGTTTAAAACCCTCTCTATCATTAATTCCAATGGCTAGTGTGGCTACCAAACATTTTCATAGCCGCTCTTACCAGGTAATATTATTCAATAGTATGAACCATAGATCTTATACTAATAGACAGAGCACCCAGGTGCCCGATGGGTTGGGGGCAGGTGCTGTAGTCTGTTGTTGTAAATACATAATTATATACATATGTATTACCAATCGAGATTCGAATGCGCATGTGCGAAGATCACTTAAGTAGTGACTTGGTCAAGACTAACAGTGTTCTCACATCTCTCTGCTGGAACTTATGCGTGCTTCATCTATTAGAATAAGGTCTATGGTATGAAGACATTTTTTAAATATTTGTAATTCTAATGCCCCCCCCCACCAGAGTTTGTAATAATTGTGATATTCTCATAATATGTAAATTTAATAACACCGATACATTACACAAAAAATGTTGGCCAACACTAATTTTTAGCTGGTATTAAAGAGGTAGTACACTAAATTAAGGATATAAAGAGGAAGTAACTTTGTATTTTAAATTAAGTAGTGGTAATAATAGTACAGTAACTATTTTTTATGTAGTAGCATCATGGTGGTTGGTACAAAAAATAAGTAGTGTCTTGACCATCATATATATCAAATCGCATAGAATAATGATTAATAAAAACATAATGCTTAGTTGATGTTTTATTAAAAGCAAACTAGAAATTTCTAACAAAATACATATTATACTTTTATCATAAAAAAAAAGTTTAAAGTTTCAATAAATTAATTACATGAACTATTACAATAAGTACTCTATTATATATTAAGAAGTCAACTGTATTATGTGGAGCTAGTTTTTTCCCTCAGTAGAATATAAATAAAAGGACCCTTATTTTATAGTCTACATAAATCAACTGTAGTTATGAAAACATATTGTTATTTTCAAAGGTGAGGGCATAACTGTAAATAACCAAAGGGATTGCAATGGTATTACAAACAGTGAAATAACCATAAGGCAACGTATGAGGTTGTCAGTATGAGTGTTTCATTTATCTAAAATGTTTTAATTTGTAGCTAATAATTTCAGTTGATTTTCCATTATATAATTTATACTGGTAATAGCTATATATGGTTTTCTTATGATCTTTCTAGCATTGCCTAAAAAAGTATTATCTAATTTGATGATCTCTTTAGTGTATCTTCTTCTTAAAATCGCCTAAGTAAGAAATATATTCCACAAACAATATACTTAACAAAGTTTTACCTACAAGTCTCGTCTATCAATAGACAACATTAATATTTATTTTACTGTAAATAGGCATCATAATTTTTAACGTAAAATATTACTATAGTAAAACAATGAAAATATTATTCAAAATGATTTTCTAGTTCGAGAGTTTGTGAAATGTTAAACATACTATGATATATTAAATACGGTTAACATAACTAAGTAAACAGTCCACAGGTAATTTGGTTAAAATATTCTCTTAGTTCAAACTGTTATGCAAACCGTTGGGTATCTTTGGGTACACCATAACACAAAACGTTTGTGCGAATGTACACATTAGCGCAAACAAAAACGCATATAATCGACAAATGTTTGCAAAAATTTTGCACAATAGTGTGGACCTGGCTTAATAGTGTACATTTTTTAATTCCCCCAGATGTCTACTGCAGTTAAGTGAGGTCAGAGGTGTCGTACATGAAATCAATAGGTCAGTGTTCTTTACAACACTCGGGCAAAAACTGCTATCCTCGTAGAGGAACCAACATTTAAAAATATTGTACGAGTACTCACGATGAACGTTACGGCTGGACGGGTGCACAGCGACGGACGTTGATTTTACAGTTTACAGAGACGGCCGCGCAGACGGCGTGACGGCTGACGGACCAGACACCGCGACAGCCTTTAGAACCGTGAACGATATGCGATTGCCGTTACGCTCGTACGACATGACTTTGGCGTTGTATGGCAACGGCAAATAAAAATCTAGCACTCGATATTATTAGTGTGATATTATACTTCAAGTAATATTATGCGTGCGAAACGACTATTATTATTGATCGCTCGTCGGACGTCCAACGGAAATCGGCGCGCGGTGTCGGATTGCACTATCGTCACCGCCGTCAACACGTAACCGTATTTTGACTAGACAGCTGCAGGTAGTGGAGCTTGTGTGTGTGTGTGTGCGGTAGATAAAAATTGCGTCGGTCGGTGAGTGGAGAGTCGCCGCTGGAGAGTGTGCCGCCAGCCGCGGTCATTGATTATGTCGGATATCCTCGGTTAAACACGGCCAGTGCCAGTGCGGGTTATCAGTTATACCGTACAACAAAAACATTATGATATTATATACGTTTTGTGCTTAATCAGCTGTTGCCCCAATTTTATGGCCGCGGCAAAGGGTCGGCGGAGCAAGCGAGACAGACTGATGGGGTCGGTCGACGGACTTTGTTGTGGGCGTGGGCCGCCATAAAAAGAAAGGGCGATAGCACGATCGGCGGTCTGAACGGGGCGGTGACACGTTTGCCTGCTGACCCGCCCTTCGACACCGAAAAACGTTTTTAGGTTAGGTTCATTATGCGCGATTAACGTTTTCGGCTATATGGACAATTCGCGTTTCAGCCACCGACCCCGTTAACCGTGTACGTCAATCGTACACATTTTTATTTTTTAACATAGATAATAAGTAATAACTAATGTCTAATGACATTATTATTTTTTTGCCATTATGTCTCGACTGCACCACAGAATAGATATATTTAATCTATTCTGAGATTGCACTATGCAGTCAAGAGTTTGCACACTGCACAGGCCATAGATGTACTGCGCCAGTTAAAATAATGGTACACCATTATTCGTTTTTATCATATTAAAACCACAGGTTAGATAAAACTAACTTTTTTTATCTATTCTGTGGTAAAGGTTTTGTTTTTTGTCCTATTTATTAAGCTACGGGCATACATAGATATTGGATAATATTTTGTAAATTGTATTATTAATACGAAATTACAGGCGAACTGTGCGATGTCCGAAAAAAAAAATGAATTCTTAAAAGTGATTTACCATTATGAAATCGGGGCCTAATTTCAAGTAATCAAATGTCTTCTAATAATTGTTTTATAAAAATTATAAATTTTAACTAAAACGTTAATGTTTTATTTTTAACTATAATAACAGCTATAATGTAACAATTTGTAAACTTAATCACGTTTCAAGTATATTTTATACAATTACATCTTAGGAGTAAAGTGTGTGTACTGGGTTGTGACTGCAACTTTAGAAATGGGCCATAAAGGTGTAATTACATGTCCAAACAGTCAGGGATACTGATGTAATAATGACAACCCAAGTAAGGATTAAAATGTTTAGCGTATTCACACAGTATTATAATTTAAAATAAAATAATGAGCAATGGCTAAGCAATTTAAAAGTGTGAAACGTTGTCTGACAATATTTATCTAAAACATCTTTATATACGAGTTCAACACGGGTTTATGGGTTTCAAAGACCTTTTTTGTGTTAACAAATTAAAATACATAGTAGAACAATCGATTTAAAAGAGGGGTCGGTTAACATTTGTGAAATGTTTTAATACTCATTTTTATATTATAATCATGAATTACTAATATTGTATAATTTGTTAATGATTAGACTATACTTTACATACCTAGTATATGTTGGATAATTTCTCTTTTTTATGTATTGCTAATATTATTATGTAAGATGCACTGGCTTGCATAAAGTTCTTACTACTTTAATATTTACTGACTATATTTTTTGCAACACGGAAAGTTTGTCGTTGTCTTCATGATAATTATAATTGTGTGATAAGTACACATATCAATTTGGGAAGCAGGTTTTTAGCAGTTTAATAAGTACCCTATTTTGCTTATTATTATAATATTAGATCTGTTTCAATGCGATCAGATTTTTTTAAAAGATGTTTAAATTAAATTAACCTTCTAAATTTACTGACTATAGCCTAAATAAGATTATAGAGCCCATTATAAATATTGGCTGCAATTTATATGAATTACATTTGATTTTTCTAACCATTCCGTTACTCTATCTAATAGAAAGATTGCTTTCTTTTTACTGGCTATTAAAATCCAGTCAGTACATTAATTTTAAATGTTAAATGTTAAATGTTGTAAACATGTCCTATCATTCTATTCGGCTCTGCAGTTAGTATTACTCGTCGCTTATATTTTCTGATCTTATCTCAATAGCACCATGCTACATTTGAGCTATAGAAACGGGTTGAGAACATATTGGGTATTCATATTCAATTCCAATAAATATGTATGAATGACAATATCAACTGTTGCACAAAAATTATTTACGAATTTCAAATAAACACCCAGCTAAAGTCCATGTCATAAAATAGTTTTTGTTTCTGTGCAAGTATCAAGTATAGGTAACTATACATTACAACAGCTCTGTTCTTTACCAACAAGATTTGTTTACCAATGTAAAAAAAAACTTATTTAAAATCTGTGCAGAATTAAGAAATTGAAAAGTATTGTGTTGTACAAATGTACAATAATAGTTCCTCTATAATATACTTAGAAAAATATTCAAAAATTGTAATTTCCAACTTAAAATTACGATCCTCTACAACTTTTTTTAAAAATAGTTTTAATTAGTTACAATTATTTGTATAAAATATTCTTTGATTATAGTACTACCGATAAACATTGACAAACCCAAAAAATATCATAACCTTTTCCCCTAAACGGGTAGAATTTTTAATTTTACTTTTTCAAACAAAGTTTTAGGGATTTAGATCTGAAAATTAGACCTAATGTAGATCTAGAATAAAACTATAATACTTAAAATGTTCTCAAAATTTAGTAGTCAAACTTTTTTTTTATTAAGGAAAATCTCCCAAAAAAGGGGAAAATACTACACTTTGACAGTAATCAATTTCCAGGTTGCTATGTGCGAGTGAATCAACAGTCAACAGGTAATGAAAATATTTTCATTATAATGTTAATTACGTTACATGGGTAACTATGGCAATCTGTAACATATTTGGAACAACATTTTGGGAGTGTCCATTTTTTTTTGTACTACCGTTGTCCGTAATTTCTAAATTCGTATTTTTTGTATAGACTCTTTTTCACTCTCAATCTAAGACACCACCAACCCCCCTCCCCTTCAATGCCGACCACTAAAAACTTACTTATGTTAGAAAATATTTATAATATAACTTTTTTATATAATTATAAAAAAAGATTTTTACTCACAATATTTGATTATAATATATTTTTTGTATTCTATTTTTTTTTTTTTTTGTTATAACAAAACTAAATTTAGTTAAAATTAAAAAATCAAGATGTAATTTTTTATATTTAGTTCTTGCAGTACATTGTTGGTCTCTACGATTACGGTTTTTGCTAATGACCATTGGTGCCGACCTCCGAGGCCAATTATAATTTATACAAATTTATTTTTGAAAGTTTTAATGTAAATTTCTATAAAACCTATAGAATGGCTTTGTCTTTGTATTGGTATAAATGTTAAATATAAATAAGTGGTTTAACTGTTGGAAAAAATGTACTAATTTGTTGTATATTTAGGTAATACAAATTTGTTATGTGCAATATTGTTTTTTTAGCATATAATTATTAACAATTGTCATTCGATTAAAGAATTGTCTTTAATCGATATTTGTATTTTTATCTGTGAACACTGGACCTCCTTTACTTACTATTACTACAACTTATGTATAATATTTTCTTACTATGCTGGTTTATAGTTTGCTTGTTTTGTACTGTACTGATTTTGAACCTACTATTCACAGATTCGCATCAAAGCTTTTATTTAAAAGTGTTTTTTATCACTTTCAATAATAATAATTCCTGTAGACCTGTGACCTCCCCAACTCCATTGTATTTTGAGATGCCTTCTAAGTTGTAAAAACATCGTTTTGTGTTATTTTCCGAATGTTCTGTACGTATAATTCAGAATAGCAGTACTATAATTTTAATATTATATTTAATCTTTTTTTTAAAAATCATTATTTTTGTACCTATAATATTTATACCTTTAAGAGGATGTTATATCCCTGGTTTTAAAATGGGGGTAAAAACATGTCTACACAGAATGCGTTTTACTAATTTTATGCTGGTTTTAGAGTAAAAATACTTATTATGTAATTATAAGAAAATTGCATTTTGAAGTAGTCATCCATTTTTTTTAAAAGTCATGGAAAAAAATGTAAATATTATTATAGTTTTTAGAAAGTAAATCATCTTTCTTCAACGGTCCAGTAGGTATTTAATACTGGACCGAGCTAATTAACAATTGCGCTCATGGCAAAATGAAAATTTTATCATTTTTTTGCTCCCTTTAGCTTGTTTAATGTTTTGCGCCCCCGGCAGGTGTCGTCTTTCCACCGCTGCAGTCCGGCCTTAATTAAGTATTGAACTAAATACTTATTGAAAAACAGACAAGACATTCCCTCCAAAATGCCATCATCTTTCGATTTTATACCAGGCGTTTTTTTTCTCTATAACCACCGTGATAGTTAAGATGAAAAAAAATATTCACTGTCTAAGATGACATGGTAGTCTGATAAAACAATTAAATACCAAAATAGAGTCCTACTGTAGTAATAATTACATATTACCTACCGATTAAGCTTATACCGACTAAGTTAATAATTTTGCAAAAAAATTGCCTTAATCGAACCCTGTAACAAATACCCAGGGGGTATACCTAACTGTAGGTACTAGGTATACCTATATAGTACTTTTAATATTAGTTTTTTTTTAATATTGATAAATGCCGCAACCATAATATTGTTTACGAAGAAGACAAAACCCTTCTTCCGTCACAGTTTTTATTAATTAGTTTAAGTAGGTCCCAAAATTTGGTGGAATTGGCCTATTTCAGGAAACATCTCTGACGCCTCAGTTACAAAATAACTCTTATGGTTTATAATTATTAATAAAAACGCATTATACGAGTATGTTATGTATAAAGACTAAATTGTTACATTAAATTTAATATATATATATATATATATATATATATATATACAGAGTCGACTGAGTTCTTAGACAGAATTTGGAAATGGTTATAGATTTCTTAAAATTAGATAAACTACCTATTTGAATTGCTGTTATAAACTTAATTTCAATGAAAATATTCTTTGCATTTTCTGTATTGGGGAATTTTTATTAGACGTTTTATTTATCTGTTTTTTTACAACTAGCACATGTGTCGAATAAAATATTAATAAAACAATTATTGGGTCGATACCCGAGGATAACGGCAGTATGGACTATGATTTTGATTGATAATTATTTATGAATGCCTTGTCGTACACGCACACATTACGCTAATAACACCCTATTATTAAGGGAGGGAAAAGAGTGACCTAGTATAAAAGCGATGATAAAATCTTGATGTGTCGCGCTAAAACTATTGTTTTATGTCGGCAATACTTATTGTCTGATAAAAAGATATAGAATATAACTAACCAATAACAGGTAAAAACTGACATTTGATTTTTGTACAAAATATAAAATACCACCAGACCGCTTTAATAAATATGCAACACTCAAAAGTAATTGGTCTGTTTGCAAAAAAATATATATCTATATTTATGTAATATACATTTATAAAAAAAAAAAATGTCTTCAAATTTAGCGCTGACCGCCACCGAAAGTGCTTATTAGCGATTATGTTGATTTGTAATACAATCCTTCTTGATCGTCGTTGTCCATGTCGACCATAACGACGGATGAACGCACCCGCCTCGCTTGCGCTGAAAAGCATTTTCTTTTGTCAGCACTTGTCGCGCCTACCAGAGAAACGGTACTGCTAACGACCAAGGTGTCGTCATTGTCGGATGCGTTGACTTCATCGTTTTTGGATTTTAAGTTGGAAAGGTGTGGTTTAGTGGTTGCACCGTCAACGTTTATAATCCTCTTAAAAAATGTGTCGCTTTGGTGTTTATTTTTAGAAAGTATTTTCCGAATGATGTATCCCAACAACGCTATTGCTATAAGCACTAAGTGCTACAAAAAACAAATGAAAACGGAGTAAATCCATAGCTCACTTAGCGGGGACCTGCCATACTGATATACAAAAATAAGAAGTATAAATTATAAGCTGCCATAATATTGTATTGCCGGGTTGCACAAAAGTAGCCTAAAGATTTATTGAACCAGTAGACATATTTTAGTACGATAGTAGTTGCTTGAACAGCATTTAGTGACCCGTGATTGGTTTACTAAATGTTCACGAGTCGTTAAATTTATAAACTTTGCAACCCGGATTAAACACTTGAATGTATCTAATTTAAAATTTCCGTTAAAGGTAAGACAAAACGATTGTCGATCGCACTATTAAAAATTTAAATAAATAATGGCTATAGCCTAGTAATTATAATAGTGTCCCGTCAATATTGACCGCAGAAAATTGGTCGCAAAAACTATACCTTAAAAGAAATTTGTACGAATTACTCTCGGCATGACATTTTTAATAAGCAAAACGACTAGTTGTATTTGATAATATAACCATTATATACGCACAGTTCTTGATTAATTGAAGGTACCTATAGATTTTGCGACCAAACTTCCGGCAATCAGTTGTCGTGCGACTGACTGACATGGCGTGTGTCTATTAAAACTGGGTTCCCATACTTCGTACGAAATGCTAAACGTCAGTCGGGCTGCCAACACTCGCCAATGGAAAAACGAATTCTGTTCTGACTGACCTCGATATCGACACACATCGGGTCGATTTTCGGCACTCCGGCCATCGTAATAGTACTCGGTCATGTTACGTTCTAAATAAACACAAAATTACCGTCGACGTATCGTTAGAAAATACATGTTCAGCTATAATCTGCGACATGCGAACAAGAGAACATGGATTTTACCAGTCGACAGGGTCCACGCCACATAACCTTCCAGTGACGGTGACTGTCCAGCAAAATTATATTCGTAGACGGTCCTGGGTATGAGATCACTGGTGAAAGCGATCACAAAAGCCTGTGCAAATTCGAAAATAACAAAAATGGATGGTTAACATTTTCTTTATGTTGTGCTAAAGAAATTGGTTAATTTTTTCAATCATAATAATCACAAATATCCGAACAACCTGAATTGTGCGTATACACTATAAAGTTTTTTGTCGTGTATTAAAATTAGATTAATACTACTTTTTAGTGTATAGTATAGTTAAGTTTAAAGTGGAAGGATATCAGTAAAAACATCCGTAACAAAATATATACAATATGTTGGCTCCCATTAGAAACTAGAAACATCCAGCTCTATATGGATCATTTAGAATGAAAGGAAAATTGCAGAAAACGGTGTAGTGAAGCCTATGGAAGGCCTTTAATTAAAAGAGAAAAAAGAAAAATGGAACTGGCTGAAATGCAAATGTTGAGAAACACTAAGTCCAACAAAAATAAAATATGAATGAGAGAATTTCTGATGATGAATCCTTCCCATCGATGTACAAATACACTTTAGCACATTACGTTTTTTTGTGGAAACCGTACTTACGTTGTAAACGACGGCGATCACGGACAATATTTTCAAAACCGAATTCCACGTGCCCAACTTAAGACAGTTGTCGCAACACTTCAGGTTTTTTTCGCTTCCGATGTGGGCGGAACCGGTGCAAAAATAAGCGGGCACAGGACGTCGCTGGGCCACAACCATTTTGTATGCGTCCAATCGTTGTTCCAAGATGTTGTTCAGTAGTGCACACAACGGGGCCAGAGGAAACGACGTTGTAAACAAGACGACAAATCCATATTGAACGACTTGACAGCATACATTAATCAGAATAGGTACAATTAATGCACCGTTCGTGTGATAAATACTGTAATACTAAGTACTCCTTACGAGGCTCCTTTTGGTCGTTACTAACCGGTATACGTACCCATTTCGGAATATTCCTGGTAGAGACCCAGCGAGCCGGTGTCCTCAAGTTGGTAGTCAAGCTGCCACTGTTTGGCTGGTACGGTTGTCGTGACATCCATCTTTTTATCCTGCATGTTTTTCTGGCGATTTACCTTGGCTCGCCATCGACGCCACAAGTTCAAACTTAGTCTGGAACATGTATAACGACAAATTGTAAAGGTTGTAATACAGACAAAACGCCTGATATTGATCATGATTATTGTTCTAACGGCATAGAAAGTTCGATAAAGTTGTCCACCATTTGCTTGCCGATCATTATGATTGCCAGTTGAATGCAGAGCTCCGGTACGCAACCCGTACCAGCCGCCGCCGGGTCGCATACGTCCTCCCGTACGTGGTGTATCAGTTTTTGAAAAGCTGCGATGGGCCAAAAGTTAGAAAACACCGTCGCGTTTTCCACGTGTCGTTGGCGGCTGGTAACGAAACGACCCTGCGACAATTCACATAATGTATTGTTTATTGTCGTATCAGTAGATCTAAATTCGAACCAGAAGTCGAATTGTAGGTATTGGAATTGTAGGTAGATTGATGAAAATATTAGATTAAGAAGGTATAAATATTTTCTCTCGTAGTCGCTATCTGGGGACTAATTATTATAAAGTATGTACGAGTTAATACTTGTTGGACTTAGTTATTTGTTGGCAATGGTCAAAAACGGATAAAACTTTTGATAGCAGTGAAGAGCCTACTAGCCTAAGTATCTCTGCCAGAGTTTTAGGTCTCAACTACAACTTAGTATCTACCCCGGCGGTAGTGCAAAAGCACAGACTACACTACCCGTACCCTCTCCTACAAACATAATAAATTATACCACACATAACATGGTTGTAGTATTGCTCACCTTAAAAAAAGCAATGTACACCAAACTCGAGTAATAGTTAGCAGAGTCGAAACACGACATGAATACGGTATAAAGACTTTGAAACTGCGGATCGAACACCGAACCGTAGGTGAATTTGGTAAGCCACTCGGCCACCGCGCTGTACGCCCGATGCACCGCCACAATGGCTGCCAATTGGACGAAAGCGGCGCACATGGTGACCACGGCCGTCTTCCAATTGCTCAACTCGCCGCTAGTTGTGTAATTCAACAGAAAGAAACTATGATGCCTCTGTTCAGAATGGTGTTGAGTGGACCATCGTAGCTGTTCTTTTTCATCTTGATGGAACACGTTTGACATTAGTAAGCCGATAGCTCGACCGCGATAAACAACGATGAGCACGGGGATGGCGGCGGCCACAATCAATGTGACACAAAACACTGCAGCGTGAATTATTGTCGGTATTTTGCCCACGTACCACCGGTAGATACGCACAAACATATTGGGTTTAGACACCATCGGCCGAGTGACCATGGGAATGCTGGTCGTATTTGAATTAGACTCGGACAACATTGAAAGTTTACGGTTCTCCGGCATCTGTTGTGCCGACCGAATAGAGAGCGATCTGCTTTTGTCACACTTTTCGCAATAAAACGTAGGCTGCTCAGTGATATCCTCGGAGGGCTCGTTTAGGATATCTCCGCGGACAGTCCAAAGCTGTTGGAACGCAGTGGCTAAAATTGAAGTATGTGGTTTTTAATCCCGATGCCTGAATATAATATTATAGACATCTTAAGAACTTACCCCAAAATGACATGAATACGGCAAACACGACGGCCCCGGGTCGATCAAAAGTGGCGGCGGACGTCCACCTGTACAAGCCGCAAGTGTCTAGCACCCGAGTGAACCCGCAGAACTGATTATCGCATTTCCTAGTCGGGCAAAGGATCCAGTCGGCCACTTGAGACATCGGGTCACATATGTCTCTACTATAAAAGTCACAAAGGCGCAATCAATAATAACGTAATCAAGTCACCAAAGCCATACTAACGTTGGCGGGTCGTTGCGAGTAGTCATCAAACCGTACAAGAACCATATTAAGCCCGCTATGGCTGGGCCTACAAGCCAAATGGTGTAGAACCTGAGCCAACTAAAATAAACAGCCACTGGGGTACCGTAGTACCGGCGGATCAACGCGTTCACCTCAAGGTCCGACTTCCAGCTTTTCGGTATGATGAGTCCAGGTCGGGCCCACTGTTCGTAGAGCCTCTGTGGCCAATCAAATTTGTATATTAGAAAAAAATACTTTTCAAAACCCTAAACGATTATTCCAAATTGGTTTTTTTTTAAAGATTAAAATATGACATAACAAAAATGGACCAACTATTAAAATATTTTTAGTTACCTATACTGTATTTCGATTAAAAACATAAAAATTGTATTTTTAATCTTATTATTATACGTAAATTCTAATTTTAAATAAATGTCTTACTTGTCTGTCGTTAATGAAGTCACTCGAATCAGATTTAAGGTTGCCATCGTGTGGCGGATACGCAGCAGTAATTATATTTGCATCTAAGAGCTGGTCGAGGCTCATCACGTTTTCGTTGCATTTATTATTGGAGTTTAGACCTACCTCGAGAATAATACGCCATACTATCTGAGCTCTCTGAGCAGACGTCAGAGGTTTATCATGATTTTCCTTAACTTTTTGGTTGTTACTCTTTAAAAAAAAAAAAATGTATAGTATATAAACATAATCTATTATATATAGTGTTATCTATTGTATATAGTGTTGGTACCAGGTACAGTGTACACTATACTTAAATTTAAAAAGTCAGTCTAGGTGTGTTAGAGAGGTCATATGTCTTTAGGAGTTATCGAGAATAAAAAATTACCCTCATAAAACCGCTTTAAAATTAAATAAACGCCCACGACTCCTTTAAAAATTAGAAAAGGAATGACGAAGGCCATAGGACATAAAAAAAAGGTAGCCATCACTGATTACACAATAATAGTATTATTTTTTGACATCATTCAAGTTTTAACGTACTTGTTCACATTTATAATGTTTCGGATCGAAAGTTTTCGTTTCATCTTCACTATCGCTACCATCACTTAAAGTTTCACACTTACACTTAAAACGGTGACGTAATAGGCGTCTGGATAGTCGTAGCAAAGCAAAACATGTCCGCCCAGCGTCCAGTGAAATCTATAGAACGTTCGGAAATAAATAAGTTTGGCCAGAAAACGCAACAGGGCTAAAATTCAAAATGTTGTCAACTACAAATTGTTTGAATTTTTTTTCAAATTCTAGAATATGAGTATGTGGTATTTGTGTTTGAATATCAATCGTGAGTATGTGAATTGCGAGGGAAGGCCGGGGGCGATTCTGGGTGAAGTCATAGAATAACATCTATATCGTTTTAATATTTCCACTTTGAATACTGACCGTTGAATCGTCGTCGAGTCTTACTAAAACACCGCGGATATTCAATTCTTTGTAAAGTTTTTGACGTTCTTCCTCGTCGTTAAATTTCCTTTTTTTGTCGGAAATATTGATTTTATTTTGTCTTCGATAAGCCAGTACGAAATCGACCACGTCATCGTCGTTTCGATTTTGTTGGCATCCGTTGGTTATTTTACTTTTCTACAATAATATTATTAGGTAAGTGGTTTTCGTTATAAACTATTTTACAGTAATAGAGTGGATTTTTATCAATACAAAATATATATTCCTTTTTTTTCAAAGGGAGTAAGCATGCATTGGTCCAATTTATTTATAACTAAAGTCAAATAAAAAATAAACGTACCTACTTATTGGATTTTTCTGTTTGATTACAGCAGTCGACTAATCGATAAAATCGGATGCATTATATGCTCACACGACCACTAAGGTTAGACAATTATTTAAACGTAAAGAACACGCTGAAAATATCACACGGCGGTGTTTCTTATGGGTCTATTATCCAAAAATGCGAAAATATAATCAAGAATATAATAATTTATGCGAAAAATATTTGAGTAAATAGATAATAGTAGCGTATAATTAAACCGCGATTGACATTTTTTTTTTGTACATTTTTATTAATAAAATGTTTAGTTGTACAAAATTGTATCTAATTTTATTATTTTATGATTGGATAAACACATTAATCCTTAACATTAACTTTAACTTATAGTACACACTACGACTACGACGATGAGGTAAACATTTTGTGTAGGTGCGCTTTGATATACATAAAATATTGTACGTAGATTCTTGACTACAATTCACACTACATCATTATTGTTAAATCATTACATGTCCACGTAAAATACTTTTGAATAATACACTTTTCTTACAATAAACTTACGTAAAGGGTTTCCGTCTTAATTAATAAATATGAGATTAGAAAAACTCAGGGGACCAACGACAGCCTTGAAAAATCCTGTTAAGCTAATATAAAAGGAACCCATGGCATAATTTATATTGGCACTGATCATTTGTCAATTATTTCGTAATTTTTTGTGTACTTATTTGAATTTAATCAAAGTATTTGTATGTAATGAGATCAACATCTCATGTTGACTTTGGCCCGCCAGTCCTTATACCATAATATTATATTGACTATATATAATATATAATAATAATAAATTATAAATTATATATTTATAAGTTTTAATTTTTATACTCTCCTTGGACTTTTAAAATTATGCAAATGAATTCAGTTTATTCAACTTAAACGAGTACCAAAAATTCAATAGTCGATGATTTATACGAAATTATTGTAAGACTATATTCTAGATAGAAATAAATTTCTCTCTACCCAAGCACTAAAATAGATTGTTTATTTACTATAAAAATAAAACGATTGAAAAACCATAAACAGTTTGATGGTCTCTCTTAAATTTATTTAAAATTCAGTTTTAAATACGAGTAGAGTTATTTTTTTCCATTTAAAAACGTTAGGATCGGATACCTCGTTTTGTGGATGCGAAGGGGAAACAACAGTATCGCCGTGGTCGTTTTGCAATGTTTCACTTGCGTCCAATGCAATCCGTTTACTCTGTTTGAAAAATTTAACGAATTTAGTGGCCTGTGCCATGCATACGGCTGTATTTTCCGATTGGCGCCTCGACGATTCGGCGTCCAAGACAGCCTGCCCCTTAGGCGAACACTGGCGACGCAACGGCGTCCTAGAGTTGGCCGTGACAACGAAATCCTTGGCGTTTCGTGACGGTGGCAACATTTCGTCGTTGACGTACCGACAGCGAATGGATAACCTGATCGCAAGTGATGTGCAACTTCAGTGGCCACGTCGAACGTTTGCTGTAGACTATCGACGCTCCATAGGTGGTCGTCACGCTCATTTGACATTTCCACCGTAGCCTTTTCAGCATTGCCTCGCCCCCGCACGCACATTTACACAACGCTAAGTATAGATAGAACTGCTGATTAATTATTCAACATGTCGACCTCCTGTTTATTTTTACTATCCTTTTAGTGCCGGACAACCACGTTGCACGCAATGCAATTTCTAAAAAATACTTAAAGCGTAATTTGTAATTTTCAAAATTCTATACACCAGTATTTTCTTTCTATACAAACCTAATTATTTTCTAAAAACGTTATTCAATAAAAAAATAAAACAAATTGTGCAACGCTTTTGTAAAAAAAAAAAAAAAACATTAATTTTAATTTTTTTTTCACAGAGGTTTTCGTGAAATTATTTCAGGTTTGGTAGGGGAGCTGAGAAGGTATTAGGTTTACAATGATATGGTTGAACTTTGAATGGTTCAATCGTGAAGAAAAGTAGCATTCCTAATATAGAAACGGAAACCCCAGTAACATACCATTAATCAAGGAAATTATAAATTTTTTTTGGGGGAACTTTGTTGCAAGGACAAAGACTTCGCGTACTATCCTAAAAATAGCGCAAGAACTAGCTCAAAAATTTAAATACCTCGACGTATTCCTAATTGATTTAATGAACATGATTCTGTTAGGTGGCCTAACCTCCTATGTACAGAAGTGTCAATTAGAAAACTTAAGGACATCTCTACATAGAACTCTTGATTTTATTGTTTATGTAATATACATAATATATTATCAGACAATTTTTTCAATAACATGATCAAAGGTCTAAAAATGTTATGTCTTAGTAATGTTTTGAATCGATGATATTACCCCCAGTAGCAGTACTTTTGTTTTGACTGTTATTCTTTTTATGTTTGGTTTTTAATTTTTGGTATCGAACTTTTATTCTCTGTAACAGGTGAGTAATTAGCATTACATTTTAGGGAGAGGGTGTCGGAGTCGTTGTGTAAACAATTTTTATGCACATACATACCTATATGTATTAAGATTTTAAGGGTTATCAGATTTTCGTGAATTTTTGTATAATAATAAGATATTTTTATAATGTACCTAATTATGAGGTATCTAAACATTTATTATAAACAAATATATTTTATCAATTGAACTTATGAAATGTAAATAATATAATCAGTACTTAAATCTTTTATAATATAGGGGTCCCGTTACGAGTTACTGTGTCACTATCTAGTATGTTTGTATACCTTTGTTATTTTGTGGGTTGACCGATATTCCACAGTTCGTCCATGGTATCTATATTCTATTTAATATTAATACAGTTCGTTTTCTAACAAATACCACTAAAACAGGCTTTCCTGAATGTCGAAACAAACAGTAACGTAAAGTTTACATGCTACCCTAAGAAATTATTTTAACATATAGACATATGTCTATGGTTCATTCATAGTTTCATTTTCTACCTAATTTCTCCACTGTGCAGTGTACTTATCTGCATATTACACGGGAGTGTTATTAGTTAATTAATATCTTCCTACTCCCCTCGTACAATGAATCGTAATATTAAGTTACAGGAGAAGGGGGTTATGGGATTTATAAAGTAATATAGGCCGTGTGCAGCATGGTACATTTTTTTAGGAATAATACCTCCCCCTCCAACACAGGTATTTTTATGCTTAAAAAAAAACAATAGCTTCTATGCTATCGCATCGTAACTAAAAAAAATGTTTAATTTAAGAAAATGTTGAGAGGTTAAGAAGATCATTTAGCTCCTATTTACTACGCTTATGGTACGGTGTAATTGGAAACACTCGGAGTTAAAAAGTAGGCAATATACATTTTTAAAGCCCCAGTGTTTTAGGACCTCGTTTATTTTAGCTCAAAATCCGTTACTTGATACTGAAACGTACCTATCATGTCGTACGTCTCCAAAAGTTAGCTGTTAGACCACGCGAAGAGTAATTATTCTGATCACTGATGGGACACTTAGCGCTAATACAATACACGATGTATAAACATTAAACGTGCACAACTGCAATACTACGCAATGCTTTTACAAACTAAAAATGCAGGAATTGCTAATAACTATTGTCTATTTCTTAAATTAATAAATAACATAAACAATAAGAGTAATGGTAATCGAAATATCTAATTTAAATGCAATGTAATTTAATTAAGTAAAAATATCTATGAACTCAAGGTTAGTCACTCAATGATTAATACACAAATTACCAAAGGTAGGTAAATCATTTAAAAAAAATGTATATTATGGTATACGGCCAACTCGCGAGAAGATGACGAAGAAGACGAGGAAAAGATGAAGAGAAGTCTAAATAAAGTTTAACTGGGTGACAGCGTTGACAAAGACCAATAGACGTGTGGACAGTCACCTGACACACTACAATAGTAGTGTGATCAGTACCATAGGCCAAGTTGGCCAGCACCAGCGGCACAACCAGGATTAAGGGGAATATTAAAAATTATTTCATAGCACAACTAATTACAAAATTTCGAAATAAATATATTTAATTAACATTTCATAACGAAATATTTAAATACATTAATTATACCAACAAAAAAACTGTATTAATGATTTAAATAAACAATAGTAATGTGTAATACATGTTGTACCTATTTATATCAAATTCAAGACTTTGCACAAGAAAAGATAATGTTTTAATTGTCATAAGAGGAAAACTCTCTTTGGGGTCCTGACAACTACTGTAAAAATTAATTGTCATAAAGTTTTTTATAATATAAAAACACGGATGCAGTACCTACCTATGCTTATTATAGCAATAGCAATAGTATAATATTCAGTGAGACCATTAACTTTGTACCACAATTTATGAATGATAAAATATTCAGGAAAAAAAATATTTAAAAAAGACAAATTTAATTAATTTTTTAAAAATATATTTATAAGATCTAGGGGGGGTCCGGACAAGGAGTCCAGCGCATGTGTGGAACGAACCGTTTTTCTAAGCCGATAAGTAATCTAATTTTACAATGGTCGCTGATAAAGGCAAACGAGTAGAGAGAAAGCTGCCAAAGTATGTGGCTCAGTATACATATAAAGAGAGTATGCAGAATATTATCTCAGATAATGTATATTATAGTTACAGATAATTTATCTGTAACTATAATATACAATACTGTGCCTAACTACCCGCGCGTTGTTTGACGTTCATAGACCGCGCCGGGCAGCACGCTTTCTGTTTAACCGCGCCTTAAAGCGTATAAGTACGTCTGCATGTGAATAATTGCATGGTTGGAGATACGAAGACGGCCGTTGTAGGCTGTAGCGCTGCAAGGGTAATATGGTATTTTAGTGTTTTTGGCGATAATTTCAAAGGCAGCAATCTTAAGATAACACGTAGGTATATATAAATCGTCCGTGTGAAAAATTGCCTGTCTCTTTACTTCAAACCGGTGTCGATTGTGATCGTAGATAACATATAATGCATGTCCCAAATATGGGGAAATAAAAAATATTCCAAAAGTCCAAAGTTCAAAATCATATTTTGCTAACGAATCAACTATCATAATTGTTGGCAGTGGTGTTATTATTTGTCTAGTTACTAGTACAACGAGCGGAAACCACGTAAGCACCTGTTGGCTGTGTTACGTATCTCCTTTATAATTATTATGCACGTGTCATTTTTTTATCTTATTATACTCGTTAAATTAATTATTATAATAATTAGTATTGCATTATTATTGTTTATTTAATATTGCAATGGTATTTTGTAAGATATTAAAAAAATGAAAAACCAAAAGCTATCTACAGAAAATTGCCTACAAAACAAAAAAACTAACTCGATCGATCCAGTAGTTTTTGAGATTAGCCGTTACTAAGAAAAGTCGATTACACATTTATATAGTTAATAATGATAATAAGAAGATGTATAGTGAAATACCCAACAGATACTTTATTACAAAAAAAAAAAGAAGGAAATGTAGCAAAAGCAGATTTATTTATTTTTACAAAACACTGGTTTTACAAATTAAAATAACGATGTAAGAAAACATAAAATACTGACAATCAGTGTTGAGGTAATTATCAATGATGAGTCAATACTAAATAAGTTGAGGTAGCATAACCCTCTAAAGTCTAAGCCAGTCGCCAGGTCTAAGCTATGTGTACGAAAACCTGCGCATAGTAACGCGTATGACTACACCTTTTATTTAATAAGCCTACATTTGATACATGTTGTTAATGATTTCCACTCTTTATATTATGCTAAACCCTATGAATTTAAAAATCTTAAATGGTAACATATAAATTATCTTAACATTAAATTAAGAACAATCTGCTTAAACATTTGACTGGTCAATAATCAAGTTTGAATAATTACTTTTAAAGTTATTTAAGTTTAAAATTTAGGATGGCAGGTGGGTAAATTAATAACTTAATTAATAACTATATACGTATGAAAAATATTAATTTTAAAAAGTCTAATGCTTAGGGTTGTAGTTAACCAGTTGGCTACCCTGCATAAGAAAATAATATAAATGGCAAGGAAATAACCAGGATTAGTAAAATATTTATAATAATTATATACCTAGCCTAACGTACCATACAACTTGTGTATAGGAGCTAAAGCCAAAATTTAAAAATCGATAAAATGACCTACATGACCCATACATTAATGATAAACCTGAAACCATACTATGTAACTTATTGGCCAAGGTCGTTGTAGTCGATTTTAGTGTAAACAAATTCTTATTGTCTAAATTTAACTTATTATTTTCGTGCCCCATTAAGATTTATTTTAACTCTATATATGTGTAAGGAGTTTTGCATTTCGAACTGCTCTGGTAAACGACTGGACGTAAGAACATAATTAGGTAAAGTGTAAAAACCATACATATAAATGTTTAAAAAAATAAAACTACAAAATTAATTTTATTTTATATTGATCATTTGGTTTAAACGTATGCATACCTACTTTAGCTAACCAAACCTTACCTACAAGAGCACAAATTAACCCATTTTAAAAAAACGTACATTTTAATCATGAAAATAAAGATATTAGGTTTACACAAACATTTTATGAAGATTGATATTCTTACCACTTGTTGTATATTGTTATATTTATAATATGGTTATTCAGATAACATTAATTAATGTGTACGCAGTGGGGACTGT